GAGGGTCATGATATCACTCAGGATAAGGCTGGAGAAGAGGGGCACGATATCACACACGATGAGAACTGACAAGAGGGGCACGATATCACACAGGATAAGGCCTGACAAGAGGGGCACAATATCACCCAGGATAAGTCTGGACAAAAGGGGCACGATATCACACATAATAAGGCCTGACAAGAGGGGCATGATATCACACAGGATAAGGCTTGACAAGAGGGGAACAATATCACTCAGGGTAAGGCTGGACAAGAGGGGCATGATATCACTCAGGATGAGGTTTGACAAGAGGGGCATGATATCACACAGGATAAGGCCTGACAAGAGGGGCATGATATCACTCAGGATACGGCTGGACAAGAGGGGCATGATATCACTAAGGATAAGGCCTGACAACAGGGGCACCATATCACACACAATAAGGCCTGACAAGAGGGGCACGATTTCACACAGGATAAGGCTGGACAAGAGGGGCACGATATCACTCAGGATAAGGCTTGACAAGAGGGGCACGGTATCACACAGGATAAGGCCTGACAAGAGGGGCACAATATCACCCAGGATAAGTCTGGACAAGAGGGGCACGATATCACTCAGGATAAGGCTGGACAAGAGGGGCACGATATCACACACGATAAGGCCTGACAACAGGGGCACGATATCACACAGGATAAGGCCTGACAAGAGGGGCACAATATCACCCAGGATAAGTCTGGATAAGAGGGGCACGATATCACACACAATAAGGCCTGACAAGAGGGGCACGATATCACCCAGGATAAATCTGGACAAGAGGGGCACGATATCACACACAATAAGGCCTGACAAGAGGGTCATGATATCACTCAGGATAAGGCTGGAGAAGAGGGGCACGATATCACACACGATGAGAACTGACAAGAGGGGCACGATATCACACAGGATAAGGCCTGACAAGAGGGGCACAATATCACCCAGGATAAGTCTGGACAAAAGGGGCACGATATCACACATAATAAGGCCTGACAAGAGGGGCATGATATCACACAGGATAAGGCTTGACAAGAGGGGCACAATATCACTCAGGGTAAGGCTGGACAAGAGGGGCATGATATCGCTCAGGATGAGGTTTGACAAGAGGGGCATGATATCACACAGGATAAGGCCTGACAAGAGGGGCATGATATCACTCAGGATACGGCTGGACAAGAGGGGCATGATATCACTAAGGATAAGGCCTGACAACAGGGGCACCATATCACACACAATAAGCCTGACAAGAGGGGCACAATATCACACAGGATAAGGCCTGACAAGAGGGGCATGATATCACTCAGGATAAGGCTGGACAAGAGGGGCACGATATCACTCAGGATAAGGCTGGACAAGAGGGGCTCGTTATCACTCAGGATAAGGCCTGACAAGAGGGGCACGATATCACTCAGGATAAGGCCTGACAAGAGGGGCACGGTATCACTCAGGATAAGGCTGGACAAGAGGGGCACGGTATCACTCAGGATAAGGCCTGACAAGAGGGGCACGATTTCACACAGGATAAGGCCTGACAAGAGGGGCACAATATCACTCAGGATAAGTCTGGACAAGAGGGGCACGATATCACACACAATAAGGCCTGACAAGTGGGGGCATGATATCACACAGGATACGGCTTGACAAGAGGGGCACGATATCACTCAGGATAAGTCTGGACAAGAGGGGCACGATATCACTCGGGATAAGGCTGGACAAGAGGGGCGCGATATCACTTAGGATAAGGCTTGACAAGAGGGGCATGATATCACTCAGGATGAGGTTTGACAAGAGGGGCACAATATCACTCAGGATAAGTCTGGACAAGAGGGGCACGATATCACACAGGATAAGGCCTGACAAGAGGGGCACAATATCACTCAGGATACGGCTGCACAAGAGGGGCACGATATCACACAGGATAAGGCCTGACAACAGGGGCGCAATATCACTCAGGATAAGTCTGGACAACAGGGGCACGATATCACTCAGGATAAGGCTGGACAAGAGGGGCACGATATCACTCAGGATAAGGCAGGACAAGAGGGGCTAGGTATCACTCAGGATAAGGCTGGACAATAGGGGCACAATATCACCCAGGATAAGTCTGGACATAAGGGGCACGATATCACTAAGGATAAGGGTTGACAAGAGGGGCACAATATCACTCAGGATAAGGTTTGAGAAGAGGGGCACAATATCACTCAGGATAAGTCTGGACAAGAGGGGCACGATATCACACAGGATAAGGCCTGACAAGAGGGGCACGATATCACTCAGGATACGGCTGGACAAGAAGGGCATGATATCACTCAGGATAAGGCTGGACAAGAGGGGCTAGGTATCACTCAGGATAAGGCTGGACAATAGGGGCACGGTATCACTCAGGATAAGGCCTGACAAGAGGGGCACAATATCACTCAGGATAAGTCTGGACAAGAGGGGCACGATATCACACAGGATAAGGCCTGACAAGAGGGGCACGATATCTCTCAGGATACAGCTGGACAAGAGGGGCACGATATCACTCAGGATAAGGCTGGACAAGAGGGGCTAGGTATCACTCAGGATAAGGCTGGACAATAGGGGCACTGTATCACTCAGGATAAGGCCTGACAAGAGGGGCACGATTTCACACAGGATAAGGCTGGACAAGAGGGGCACGATATCACTCAGGATAAGGCTGGACAAGAGGGGCACGGTATCACACAGGATAAGGCCTGACAAGAGGGGCACAATATCACCCAGGATAAGTCTGGACAAGAGGGGCACGATATCACTCAGGATAAGGCTGGACAAGAGGGGCACGATATCACACACGATAAGGCCTGACAACAGGGGCACGATATCACACAGGATAAGGCCTGAGAAGAGGGGCACAATATCACCCAGGATAAGTCTGGATAAGAGGGGCACGATATCACACACAATAAGGCCTGACAAGAGGGGCACGATATCACCCAGGATAAATCTGGACAAGAGGGGCACGATATCACACACAATAAGGCCTGACAAGAGGGTCATGATATCACTCAGGATAAGGCTGGAGAAGAGGGGCACGATATCACACACGATGAGAACTGACAAGAGGGGCACGATATCACACAGGATAAGGCCTGACAAGAGGGGCACAATATCACCCAGGATAAGTCTGGACAAAAGGGGCACGATATCACACATAATAAGGCCTGACAAGAGGGGCATGATATCACACAGGATAAGGCTTGACAAGAGGGGAACAATATCACTCAGGGTAAGGCTGGACAAGAGGGGCATGATATCACTCAGGATGAGGTTTGACAAGAGGGGCATGATATCACACAGGATAAGGCCTGACAAGAGGGGCATGATATCACTCAGGATACGGCTGGACAAGAGGGGCATGATATCACTAAGGATAAGGCCTGACAACAGGGGCACCATATCACACACAATAAGGCCTGACAAGAGGGGCACAATATCACACAGGATAAGGCCTGACAAGAGGGGCATGATATCACTCAGGATAAGGCTGGACAAGAGGGGCACGATATCACTCAGGATAAGGCTGGACAAGAGGGGCTCGTTATCACTCAGGATAAGGCCTGACAAGAGGGGCACGATATCACTCAGGATAAGGCCTGACAAGAGGGGCACGGTATCACTCAGGATAAGGCTGGACAAGAGGGGCACGGTATCACTCAGGATAAGGCCTGACAAGAGGGGCACGATTTCACACAGGATAAGGCCTGACAAGAGGGGCACAATATCACTCAGGATAAGTCTGGACAAGAGGGGCACGATATCACACACAATAAGGCCTGACAAGTGGGGGCATGATATCACACAGGATACGGCTTGACAAGAGGGGCACGATATCACTCAGGATAAGGCTGGACAAGAGGGGCACGATATCACTCGGGATAAGGCTGGACAAGAGGGGCGCGATATCACTTAGGATAAGGCTTGACAAGAGGGGCATGATATCACTCAGGATGAGGTTTGACAAGAGGGGCACAATATCACTCAGGATAAGTCTGGACAAGAGGGGCACGATATCACACAGGATAAGGCCTGACAAGAGGGGCACAATATCACTCAGGATACGGCTGCACAAGAGGGGCACGATATCACACAGGATAAGGCCTGACAACAGGGGCGCAATATCACTCAGGATAAGTCTGGACAACAGGGGCACGATATCACTCAGGATAAGGCTGGACAAGAGGGGCACGATATCACTCAGGATAAGGCTGGACAAGAGGGGCTAGGTATCACTCAGGATAAGGCTGGACAATAGGGGCACAATATCACCCAGGATAAGTCTGGACATAAGGGGCACGATATCACTAAGGATAAGGGTTGACAAGAGGGGCACAATATCACTCAGGATAAGGTTTGAGAAGAGGGGCACAATATCACTCAGGATAAGTCTGGACAAGAGGGGCACGATATCACACAGGATAAGGCCTGACAAGAGGGGCATGATATCACTCAGGATACGGCTGGACAAGAGGGGCACGATATCACTCAGGATAAGGCTTGACAACAGGGGCACGATATCACTCAGGATAAGGCTGGACAAGAGGGGCACGATATCACACAGGATAAGGCTGGACAAGAGGGGCACGATATCACACAGGATAAGGCTGGACAAGAGGGGCACGATATCACTCAGGATAAGGCCTGACAAGAGGGGCACGATATCACACAGGATAAGGCTGGACAAGAGGGGCACGATATCACACAGGATAAGGCTGGACAAGAGGGGCACGATATCACTCAGGACAAGGCTTGACAAGAGGGGCACGATATCACACAGGATAAGGCTTGACAAGAGGGGCACGATATCACACAGGATAAGGCTGGACAAGAGGGGAACGCTATCACACAGGATAAGGCTGGACAAGAGGGGCACGATATCACTCAGGATAAGGCTTGACAAGAGGGGCACGATATCACACAGGTTGTTTTGTTGTGTGGGGAGGGGCTACAACAGACAATGATCAAACCTTTATAATGTCCCGTGGGATCCTACAACAGTAGCCAGAAATATCACATCAAACATGCCTTCCCATTTCACCAGTGTCATCATCAGGGTAGCCACAGCGACATACATTGACCTCCCTGACATTTCCCTGACTTTTAAATTCCCAATTTCATTGATGGACCTTAATACAAAAACACAACACACTGAGAGATTGATGGCCTCCATCCTCCTGTTCCACCCACTTGCCTCAAAACAAGAACAGCACACACATTAACATGGAAGTGATCAATATTAATATATAAAATAACATAATATAAAACATAGGTCAGTTTTTAATTTCAAAGATCTACATGATTAACACTAAACAATGGAACATCCATCAGTTCTATTACAGTAACCTTCAGTTATACACTTCAATCAGTTATACACTTCCATCAGCTCTATACTTCCATCAGTTCTACACTTCCATCAGTTCTACACTTCCTTCAGTTCTACACCTCCTTCAGTTATACACTACCTTCAGTTAAACACTTCCTTCAGTTATACTCCTCCTTCAGTTATACACTTCAATCTGTTCTATACTTCCTTCAGTTATACACTTCAATCTGTTCTATACTTCCTTCAATTATACACCAACTTCAGTTAAACACTTCCACCAGTTAAACACTTCCTTCAGTTATACACTTCCGCCAGTTCTATACTTCCATCAGTTATACACTTCCTTCAGTTATACACCTCCTTCAGTTATACACTTCCATCAGTCTTACACCTCCTTCAGTTATAAACCTCCTTCAGTCATACACTTCAATCAGTTCTATACTTCCTTCAGTTATACACTTCCTTCCGTTATACTCCTCCTTCAATTATACACTTCAATCTGTTCTATACTTCCTTCAGTTATACACCACCTTCAGTTATACACTTCCATCAGTTCTATACTTCCTTCAGTTATACACTTCCATCAGTTATACACTTCCTTCAGTTATACAGCTCCTTCAGTTATACACTTCCATCAGTCTTACACCTCCTTCAGTTATACACTTCTATCAGTTCTATACTTCCTTCAGTTATACACTTCCATCAGTTATACACTTCCTTCAGTTATACAGCTCCTTCAGTTATTCACTTCCATCAGTCTTACACCTCCTTCAGTTATACACCACCTTCAGTTATACAGCTCCTTCAGTTCTATACTTCCTTCAGTTATACACCTCCTTCAGTTATATAATTCCTTCAGTCATACACTTCCATCAGTTCTTTACTTCCTTCAGTCATACACCTCCTTCAGTCATACACTTCCATCAGTTCTATACTACCTTAAGTTGTACATTTCCTTCAGTTATACACTTCCATCAGTTCTATACTTCCTTCAGTTATACACTTCCTTCAGTTATACACCTCCTTAAGTAATACACCTCCTTAAGTAATAGACGACCTTCAGTCATAAACCTCCTTCAGTTATACACTTCCTTCAGTTATACACCTCCTTCAGCTCTACACTCCTTCAGCTCTACACTCCTTCAGTCATACACTTCAATCGATTCTATACTTCCTACAGTTATACACTTACTTTCGTTATACTCCTCCTTCAGTTATACACTTCAATCTGTTCTATACTTTCTTCAGTTATACACTTCCATCAGTCTTACACCTCCTTCAGTTATACACTTCCATCAGTTCTATACTTCCTTCAGTTATACACTTCCTTCAGTTATACACCTCCTTAAGTAATACACCTCCTTAAGTAATACACCTCCTTAAGTAATACACGACCTTCAGTCATAAACCTCATTCAGTCTTATACCTCCTTCAGTTATACACTTCCTTCAGGTATACACCTCCTTAAGTAATACAGCTCCTTAAGTAATACACGACCTTCAGTCATAGACCTCATTCAGTCTTATACCTCCTTCAGTTATATACTTCCTTAAGTAATACACCTCCTTAAGTAATACACCTCCTTCAGCTCTACACTCCTTCAGTTATACACTTCCTTCAGTTATACACTTCCTTAAGTAATACACCTCCTTAAGTAATACACCTCCTTAAGTAATACACTACCTTCAGTTAAACAATTCCTTCAGTTATAAACCTCCTTTAGTTATACACTTCCTTCAGTTATACACTTCCTTCAGTTATACACCTCCTTAAGTAATACAGCTCCTTAAGTAATACACGACCTTCAGTCATAGACCTCATTCAGTCTTATACCTCCTTCAGTTATACACGACCTTCAGTTATAAACCTCCTACAGTTATACACTTCCATCAGTTCTATACTTCCTTAAGTAATACACCTCCTTCAGCTCTACACTCCTTCAGTTATACACTTCCTTCAGTTATACACTTCCTTAAGTAATACACCTCCTTAAGAAATACACCTCCTTAAGTAATACACCTCCTTAAGTAATACACTACCTTCAGTTAAACAATTCCTTCAGTTATAAACCTCCTTCAGTTATACACTTCCTTCAGTTATACACCTCCTTCAGCTCTACACTCCTTCAGCTCTACACTCCTTCAGTCATACACTTCAATTGATTCTATACTTCCTACAGTTATACACTTACTTTCGTTATACTCCTCCTTCAGTTATACACTTCAATCTGTTCTATACTTTCTTCAGTTATACACTTCCTTCAGTTATACAGCTCCTTCAGTTATACACTTCCATCAGTCTTACACCTCCTTCAGTTATACACTTCCATCAGTTCTATACTTCCTTCAGTTATACACTTCCATCAGTTATACACTTCCTTCAGTTATACAGCTCCTTCAGTTATTCACTTCCATCAGTCTTACACCTCCTTCAGTTATACACCACCTTCAGTTATACAACTCCTTCAGTTCTATACTTCCTTCAGTTATACACCTTCTTCAGTTATATACTTCCAACAGTTCTTTACTTCCTTCAGTCATACACCTCCTTCAGTCATACACTTCCATAAGTTCTATACTACCTTAAGTTGTACATTTCCTTCAGTTATACACCTCCTTCAGTTATACACCTCCTTAAGTAATACACCCCCTTAAGTAATACACGACCTTCAGTCATAAACCTCATTCAGTCTTATACCTCCTTCAGTTATACACTTCCTTCAGTTATACACTTCCTTCAGTTATAAACCTCCTTAAGTAATACAGCTCCTTAAGTAATACACGACCTTCAGTCATAGACCTCATTCAGTCTTACACCACCTTCAGTTATACGCTTCCTTCAGTTATAAACCTCCTTCAGTTATACACTTCCTTCAGTTATACACCTCCTTCAGCTCTACACTTCCATCAGTTCTATACTTCCTTCAGTTATACACTTCCATCAGTTATACACTTCCTTCAGTTATACAGCTCCTTCAGTTATTCACTTCCATCAGTCTTACACCTCCTTCAGTTATACACCACCTTCAGTTATACAGCTCCTTCAGTTCTATACTTTCTTCAGTTATACACCTTCTTCAGTTATATACTTCCTTCAGTCATACACTTCAGACAGTTCTTTACTTCCTTCAGTCATACACCTCCTTCAGTCATACACTTCCATCAGTTCTATACTACCTTAAGTTGTACATTTCCTTCAGTTATACAGCTCCTTCAGTTATACACTTCCATCAGTCTTATACCTCCTTCAGTTATACACTTCCATCAGTTCTATACTTCCTTCAGTTATACACTTCCTTCAGTTATACACTTCCTTCAGTTATACACTTCCTTCAGTTATACAGCTCCTTCAGTTATACACTTCCATCAGTCTTATACCTCCTTCAGTTATACACTTCCATCAGTTCTATACTTCCTTCAGTTATACACTTCCTTCAGTTATACACCTCCTTAAGTAATACACCTCCTTAAGTAATACACGACCTTCAGTCATAAACCTCATTCAGTCTTATACCTCCTTCAGTTATACACTTCCTTCAGTTATACACTTCCTTCAGTTATAAACCTCCTTAAGTAATACACCTCCTTAAGTAATACACCTCCTTAAGTAATACACGACCTTCAGTCATAAACCACATTCAGTCTTATACGTCCTTCAGTTATACACTTCCTTCAGTTATACACTTCCTTCAGTTATACACCTCCTTAAGTAATACAGCTCCTTAAGTAATACACGACCTTCAGTCATAGACCTCATTCAGTCTTATACCTCCTTCAGTTATACGCTTCCTTCAGTTATAAACCTCCTTCAGTTATACACTTCCATCAGTTCTATACTTCCTTCAGTTATACACTTCCTTCAGTTATACACCTCCTTCAGTTATACACCTCCTTAAGTAATACACCTCCTTCAGCTCTACACTCCTTCAGTTATACACTTCCTTCAGTTATACACTTCCTTAAGTAATACACCTCCTTAAGTAATACACCTCCTTAAGTAATACACTACTTTCAGTTAAACAATTCCTTCAGTTATAAACCTCCTTCAGTTATACACTTCCTTCAGTTATACACCTCCTTCAGCTCTACACTCCTTCAGCTCTACACTCCTTCAGTCATACACTTCAATCGATTCTATACTTCCTACAGTTATACACTTACTTTCGTTATACTCCTCCTTCAGTTATACACTTCAATCTGTTCTATACTTTCTTCAGTTATACACTTCCATCAGTCTTACACCTCCTTCAGTTATACACTTCCATCAGTTCTATACTTCCTTCAGTTATACACTTCCTTCAGTTATACACCTCCTTAAGTAATACACCTCCTTAAGTAATACACCTCCTTAAGTAATACACGACCTTCAGTCATAAACCTCATTCAGTCTTATACCTCCTTCAGTTATACACTTCCTTCAGGTATACACCTCCTTAAGTAATACAGCTCCTTAAGTAATACACGACCTTCAGTCATAGACCTCATTCAGTCTTATACCTCCTTCAGTTATATACTTCCTTAAGTAATACACCTCCTTAAGTAATACACCTCCTTCAGCTCTACACTCCTTCAGTTATACACTTCCTTCAGTTATACACTTCCTTAAGTAATACACCTCCTTAAGTAATACACCTCCTTAAGTAATACACTACCTTCAGTTAAACAATTCCTTCAGTTATAAACCTCCTTTAGTTATACACTTCCTTCAGTTATACACTTCCTTCAGTTATACACCTCCTTAAGTAATACAGCTCCTTAAGTAATACACGACCTTCAGTCATAGACCTCATTCAGTCTTATACCTCCTTCAGTTATACACGACCTTCAGTTATAAACCTCCTACAGTTATACACTTCCATCAGTTCTATACTTCCTTAAGTAATACACCTCCTTCAGCTCTACACTCCTTCAGTTATACACTTCCTTCAGTTATACACTTCCTTAAGTAATACACCTCCTTAAGAAATACACCTCCTTAAGTAATACACCTCCTTAAGTAATACACTACCTTCAGTTAAACAATTCCTTCAGTTATAAACCTCCTTCAGTTATACACTTCCTTCAGTTATACACCTCCTTCAGCTCTACACTCCTTCAGCTCTACACTCCTTCAGTCATACACTTCAATTGATTCTATACTTCCTACAGTTATACACTTACTTTCGTTATACTCCTCCTTCAGTTATACACTTCAATCTGTTCTATACTTTCTTCAGTTATACACTTCCTTCAGTTATACAGCTCCTTCAGTTATACACTTCCATCAGTCTTACACCTCCTTCAGTTATACACTTCCATCAGTTCTATACTTCCTTCAGTTATACACTTCCATCAGTTATACACTTCCTTCAGTTATACAGCTCCTTCAGTTATTCACTTCCATCAGTCTTACACCTCCTTCAGTTATACACCACCTTCAGTTATACAACTCCTTCAGTTCTATACTTCCTTCAGTTATACACCTTCTTCAGTTATATACTTCCAACAGTTCTTTACTTCCTTCAGTCATACACCTCCTTCAGTCATACACTTCCATAAGTTCTATACTACCTTAAGTTGTACATTTCCTTCAGTTATACACCTCCTTCAGTTATACACCTCCTTAAGTAATACACCCCCTTAAGTAATACACGACCTTCAGTCATAAACCTCATTCAGTCTTATACCTCCTTCAGTTATACACTTCCTTCAGTTATACACTTCCTTCAGTTATAAACCTCCTTAAGTAATACAGCTCCTTAAGTAATACACGACCTTCAGTCATAGACCTCATTCAGTCTTACACCACCTTCAGTTATACGCTTCCTTCAGTTATAAACCTCCTTCAGTTATACACTTCCTTCAGTTATACACCTCCTTCAGCTCTACACTTCCATCAGTTCTATACTTCCTTCAGTTATACACTTCCATCAGTTATACACTTCCTTCAGTTATACAGCTCCTTCAGTAATTCACTTCCATCAGTCTTACACCTCCTTCAGTTATACACCACCTTCAGTTATACAGCTCCTTCAGTTCTATACTTTCTTCAGTTATACACCTTCTTCAGTTATATACTTCCTTCAGTCATACACTTCAGACAGTTCTTTACTTCCTTCAGTCATACACCTCCTTCAGTCATACACTTCCATCAGTTCTATACTACCTTAAGTTGTACATTTCCTTCAGTTATACAGCTCCTTCAGTTATACACTTCCATCAGTCTTATACCTCCTTCAGTTATACACTTCCATCAGTTCTATACTTCCTTCAGTTATACACTTCCTTCAGTTATACACTTCCTTCAGTTATACACTTCCTTCAGTTATACAGCTCCTTCAGTTATACACTTCCATCAGTCTTATACCTCCTTCAGTTATACACTTCCATCAGTTCTATACTTCCTTCAGTTATACACTTCCTTCAGTTATACACCTCCTTAAGTAATACACCTCCTTAAGTAATACACGACCTTCAGTCATAAACCTCATTCAGTCTTATACCTCCTTCAGTTATACACTTCCTTCAGTTATACACTTCCTTCAGTTATAAACCTCCTTAAGTAATACACCTCCTTAAGTAATACACCTCCTTAAGTAATACACGACCTTCAGTCATAAACCACATTCAGTCTTATACGTCCTTCAGTTATACACTTCCTTCAGTTATACACTTCCTTCAGTTATACACCTCCTTAAGTAATACAGCTCCTTAAGTAATACACGACCTTCAGTCATAGACCTCATTCAGTCTTATACCTCCTTCAGTTATACGCTTCCTTCAGTTATAAACCTCCTTCAGTTATACACTTCCATCAGTTCTATACTTCCTTCAGTTATACACTTCCTTCAGTTATACACCTCCTTCAGTTATACACCTCCTTAAGTAATACACCTCCTTCAGCTCTACACTCCTTCAGTTATACACTTCCTTCAGTTATACACTTCCTTAAGTAATACACCTCCTTAAGTAATACACCTCCTTAAGTAATACACTACTTTCAGTTAAACAATTCCTTCAGTTATAAACCTCCTTCAGTTATACACTTCCTTCAGTTATACACCTCCTTCAGCTCTACACTCCTTCAGCTCTACACTCCTTCAGTCATACACTTCAATCGATTCTATACTTCCTACAGTTATACACTTACTTTCGTTATACTCCTCCTTCAGTTATACACTTCAATCTGTTCTATACTTTCTTCAGTTATACACTTCCTTCAGTTATACAGCTCCTTCAGTTATACACTTCCATCAGTCTTACACCTCCTTCAGTTATACACTTCCATCAGTTCTATACTTCCTTCAGTTATACACTTCCATCAGTTATACACTTCCTTCAGTTATACAGCTCCTTCAGTTATTCACTTCCATCAGTCTTACACCTCCTTCAGTTATACACCACCTTCAGTTATACAGCTCCTTCAGTTCTATACTTCCTTCAGTTATACACCTTCTTCAGTTATATACTTCCTTCAGTCATACACTTCCAACAGTTCTTTAGTTCCTTCAGTCATACACCTCCTTCAGTCATACACTTCCATCAGTTCTATACTACCTTAAGTTGTACATTTCCTTCAGTTATACACCTCCTTCAGTTATACACCTCCTTAAGTAATACACCCCCTTAAGTAATACACGACCTTCAGTCATAAACCTCATTCAGTCTTATACCTCCTTCAGTTATACACTTCCTTCAGTTATACACTTCCTTCAGTTATAAACCTCCTTAAGTAATAGAGCTCCTTAAGTAATACACGACCTTCAGTCATAGACCTCATTCAGTCTTACACCACCTTCAGTTATACGCTTCCTTCAGTTATAAACCTCCTTCAGTTATACACTTCCTTCAGTTATACACCTCCTTCAGCTCTACACTCCTTCAGCTCTACACTCCTTCAGTCATACACTTCAATCGATTCTATACTTCCTACAGTTATACACTTACTTTCGTTATACTCCTCCTTCAGTTATACACTTCAATCTGTTCTATACTTTCTTCAGTTATACACCACCTTCAGTTATACACTTCCATCAGTTATACACTTCCTTCAGTTATACACCTCCTTCAGTTATACACTTCCATCAGTTCTATACTTCCTTCAGTTATACACTTCCTTCAGTCATACACTTCCTTCCGTTATACACCACCTTCAGTTATACACTTCCATCAGTTATACACTTCCTTCAGTTATAAACCTCCTTCAGTTATACACTTCAATCAGTTCTACTCTTCCTTCAGTTATACACCACCTTCAGTTATACACTTTCTTCAGTTATACACCTCCTTCAGTTATACATTTCCATCAGTTCTAAACTTCCTTCAGTTATACACTTCCTTCAGTTATACACTTCCTTCCTTTATAGACCTCCTTCAGTTATACACTTCCATCAGTTATACACTTCCTTCAGTTATACACTTCCTTCAGTTATACATTTCCATCAGTTCTATACTTCCATCAGTTCTTTACTTCCTTCAGTTCTATACTTCCTTCAGTTATACACTTCCTTCAGTTATACACTTCCTTCAGTTATACACTACCTTCAGTTATACACTTCCTTCAGTTATACACTTCCTTCAGTAATACACTTCCTTCAGTTATACACTTCCTTCAGTTATACACTTCCATCAGTTCTATACTTCCTTCAGTTATACACTTGCTTAAGTTATACACTTCCTTCAGTTATACACTTCCATCAGTTCTATACTTCCTTCACTTATACACTTCCTTCAGTTATACCCTTCCTCCCTTTATACACCACCTTCAATTATACACTTCCATCAGTTCTATACTTCCTTCAGTTATACACCTCCTACAGGTATACACTTCCTTCAGGTATACACCTCTTTCAGTTATACACCTCCTACAGTTATACACTTCCTACAGTTATACACCTCCTTCAGTTATACACTTCATACAGTGGTACACTTCCAACAGTTAAACTAGTCACAATATGGCTGAGATATTGCTGATGTGAAGTTAAATTTTACTCACTCACTCCTTCAGTTACATACTTTCAAGTGTTTTTGCCAATGTGGTCAGTCAGAAGACACATTACACAAAGATCACTTCATACGTTAGGCTTCTTTGACAAAGACAAAACACAGTCGTACTACAAAATCCAGTTTCCCCTGACAAAGGTCTGACATTTTTCTGAATATCAAATTTGAAAAAATATTTTTTTCCCTCACCCGTGGCTACCATGATGATTAGTGTGTTAAACAAATTAGAGAAAACATGTTGAGGCATTAAATGTCAGTTCAAGCATGTTAGAGATTAGATTATTTCAACATGTGTTGCAAGTGCGACAGCAGCGACCACTGTACCTGGCAAGAGGTCCCTCCTGCTTCTCCCGCTCTCGCAGTGTCCGTAACACTCGCCGGTCAATCAGTCGCAGAGCAGCAAATGACCTCACAATCTGAAACACAGCGAAAAATCGTAAATCTCAAACACAAGGGGGTCATACTCAGATAGAGGAAGTATAACTCACCATGAGGCGGACGTAGGGACGTGTACTCACCATGAGGCGGACATGTACTCACCATGAGGCGGACGTAGGGACGTGTACTCACCATGAGGCGGACGTAGGGACGTGTACTCACCATGAGGCGGACGTGTACTCACCATGAGGCGGACGTAGGGATGTGTACTCACCATGAGGCGGATGTAGGGACGTGTACTTACCATGAGGCGGACGTAGGGACGTGTACTTACCATGAGGCGGACGTAGGGATGTGTACTCACCATGAGGCGGACGTAGGGATGTGTACTCACCATGAGGCGGACGTAGGGACGTGTACTCACCATGAGGCGGACGTAGGGACGTGTACTTACCATGAGGCGGACGTAGGGACGTGTACTTACCATGAGGCGGACGTAGGGACGTGTACTCACCATGAGGCGGACGTAGGGATGTGTACTCACCATGAGGCGGACGTAGGGACGTGTACTCACCATGAGGCGGATGTAGGGATGTGTACTCACCATGAGGCGGACATAATCGCTTGAGTCCAGCTCCAGCATCTCCAGCATGAGTCGGGTCAACTTTTCGCTCTTCATACCCAGAGTACCCTGCAAACATACACCTCCTTCAATCATACACTACCATCAGTTTACACTGACAACAATTATATGCTTCCAACAACTGCACATCTCCTACAGTTCATGAGGGAGTCAGCCTAAGGCCCATTCAAGATTACTTCCATGGCAGGGAACACCGAAGACTTGGCTCTGCATGTTACAGTGGGTGTGGACTTCAACTAGGCTACCCAACTTATCCTGCCAATACATGCGGAACATAGTAGGTTCCTGTCAGTGTGTCGCAAAATACTTCTGACTTGTGTGCCAACCACAGCAATGGCTGCCTTTGCCCTTGTACCTACCACAGCAATGGCTGACCTTGTACCTACGACAGCAATGGCTGACCTTGTACATACCACAGCAATGGCTGACCTTGTACCTACCACAGCAATGGCTGCCTTTGTCCTTGTACCCATCACAGCAATGGCTGACCTTGTACCTACCACAGCAATGGCTGACCTTGTACCTACCACAGCAATGGCTGACCTTGTACCTAACACAGAAATGGCTGCCTTTGTCCTTGTACCCATCACAGCAATGGCTGACCTTGTACCTACGACAGCAATGGCTGACCTTGTACCTACCACAGGAATGGCTGACCTTGTACCTACCACAGCAATGGCTGCCTCTGCCCTTGCCTCCTCTTCAGGGTCCTCCAGACGTCTGCAGCAAAAACATGACACGACTCATACCAAGTGAACAAACACAGACCCAGTGAACAAACACACAGACCCAGTGAACAAACACACAGACCCAGTGAACAAACACACAGACCCAGTGAACAAACACACAGACCCAGTGAACAAACACACAGACCCAGTGAACAAACACAGACCCAGTGAACAAACACACAGACCCAGTGAACAAACACACAGACCAAGTGAACAAACACACAGACCCAGTGAACAAACACACAGACCCTGTGAACAAACACACAGACCCAGTGAACAAACACACAGACCCAGTGAACAAACACACAGACCCAGTGAACAAACACAGACCCAGTGAAAAAACACACAACCCCGTGAACAAACACACAGACCCAGTGAACAAACACACAGACTCAGTGAACAAACACACAGACCCCGTGAACAAACACACAGATCCTGTGAACAAACACAGACCCAGTGAACAAACACACAGACCCCGTGAACAAACACACAGACCCATTGAACAAACACAGACCCAGTGAACAAACACACAGACCCAGTGAACAAACACACAGGCTCAGTGAACAAACACACAGGCTCAGTGAACAAACACACAGACCAGTGAACAAACACACAGACCCAGTGAACAAACACAGACCCAGTGAAAAAACACACAACCCCGTGAACAAACACACAGACCAAGTGAACAAACACACAGACTCAGTGAACAAACACACAGACCCCGTGAACAAACACACAGATCCTGTGAACAAACACAGACCCAGTGAACAAACACACAGACCCCGTGAACAAACACACAGACCCATTGAACAAACACAGACCCAGTGAACAAACACACAGACCCAGTGAACAAACACACAGGCTCAGTGAACAAACACACAGGCTCAGTGAACAAACACACAGACCCAGTGAACAAGCACGCAGACCTAGTGAACAAACTCACAGACCCAGTGAACAAACACAGACCTAGTGAACAAACACACAGACCCAGTGAACAAACACACAGACCCAGTGAACAAACACAGACCCAGTGAACAAACACACAGACCAAGTGAACAAACACACAGACCCAGTGAACAAACACACAGACCCAGTGAACAAACACACAGACCAAGTGAACAAACCCACAGACCTAGGGAACAAACACACAGACCCAGTGAACAAACACAGACTCAGTGAACAAACACAGATCCCGTGAAAAACACACACATCAAATAAAGAAATACATCCCAGTAACAAACGGTTGCACCTGGGAAATATCTGCTTGAAACAGCAACTACAACCATTCTTCAGTTCACTGACTGTCAGCAATGCTGATGTGTTTCCGCACTTACTTCTCGATGGTCTCACAGGCCCGGGCAAACATCCGTAGAGCAGTCAACGCCTTGGCCGCCGCTGTCCGCACCTCCTACAACACAACACAGACATAAAGCCTCTTGACAGATCTCCTACAACACATCACAGACATAAGGCCTCTTGACAGATCTCCTACAACACATCACAGACATAAGGCCTGTAGACACCTCTCCTACATACACATCACAGACATAAGGCCTCTTGACAGATCTCCTACAACACATCACAGACATAAGGCCTCTTGACAGATCTCCTACAACACATCACAGACATAAAGCCTCAAGACAGATCTCCTACAACACAACACAGGCATAAGGCCTCTTGACAGATCTCCTACAACACATCACAGACATAAGGCCTGTAGACAGATCTCCTACAACACATCACAGACATAAGGCCTGTAGACAGATCTCCTACAACACATCACAGACATAAGGCCTGTAGACAGATCTCCTACAACAAAACACAGACATAAGGCCTCAAGACAGATCGCCTACAACACAACACAGACATAAGGCCTGTAGACAGATCTTCTACAACACAACACAGACATAAGGCCTCAAGACAGATCTCCTACAACACAACATAGACATAAGGCCTCAAGACAGATCTCCTACAACACAACATAGACATAAGGCCTCAAGACAGATCGCCTACAACACAACACAGACATAAGGCCTCTTGACAGATCTCCTACAACACATCACAGACATAAGGCCTGTAGACAGATCTCCTACAACACATCACAGACATGAGGCCTCAAGACAGATCGCCTACAACACAACACAGACATAAGGCCTGTAGACAGATCTCCTACAACACAACATAGACATAAGGCCTCAAGACAGATCGCCTACAACACAACACAGACATAAGGCCTCTAGACAGATCTCCTACAACACACACAGACACAAGGCCTCAAGACAGATATCCTACAACACATCACAGACATAAGGCCTCAAGACAGATATCCTACAACACACACAGACATAAGGCCTGTAGACACCTCTCCTACAACACACCACAGACATAAGGCCTGTAGACTCCTCTCCTACAACACACCACAGACATGAGGCCTGTAGACACCTCTCCTACAACACACCACAGACATAAGACCTCTAGACACCTCTCCTACATACACACCACAGACTAGGCCTGTAGCCACCTCTCCTACAACACAACACAGACATAAGGCCTGTAGACACCTCTCCTACATACACATCACAGACATAAGGCCTGTAGACACCTCTCCTACATACACAACACAGATGTAAGGCCTGTAGACACCTCTCCTACATACACACCACAGACTAGGCCTGTAGCCACCTCTCCTACATACACACCACAGACATAAGGCCTGTAGACACCTCTCCTACATACACATCACAGACATAAGGCCTGTAGACACCACTCCTACATACACACCACAGACTAGGCCTGTAGACACCTCTCCTACATACAACAGACATAAGGCCTGTAGACACCTCTCCTACATACACACAACAGACATAAGGCCTGTAGACACCTCTCCTACATACACACAACAGACATAAGGCCTGTAGACACCTCTCCTACAACACATCACAGACATAAGGCCTGTAGACACCTCTCCTACAACACACCACAGACATAAGGCCTGTAGACACCTCTCCTACAACACATCACAGACATAAGGCCTGTAGACAGATCTCCTACAACACATTATAGACATAGGGCCTCAAGACAGATCTCCTACAACACACCACAGACATAAGGCCTGTAGACACCTCTCCTACATACACACCACATACATAAGGCCTGTAGACACCTCTCCTACAACACACCACAGACATAAGGCCTGTAGACACCTCTCCTACAACACACCACAGACATAAGGCCTGTAGACACCTCTCCTACAACACAACACAGACGTTAGGCCTGTAGACACCTCTCCTACATGCACACCACAGACATAAGGCCTGTAGACACCTCTCCTACAACACACCACAGACATAAGGCCTGTAGACACCTCTCCTACAACACAACACAGACGTTAGGCCTGTAGACACCTCTCCTACATGCACACCACAGACATAAGGCCTGTAGACACCTCTCCTACAACACACCACAGACATAAGGCCTGTAGACACCTCTCCTACAACACACCACAGACATAAGGCCTGTAGACTCCTCTCCTACAACACAACACAGACATAAGGCCTCTAGACACCTCTCCGACAACACACCACAGACTAGGCCTGTAGACACCTCTCCTACATACACACCACAGAAATAAGGCCTGTAGGCACCTCTCCTACATACACAGACATAAGGCCTGTAGACACCTCTCCTACAACACACCACTGACATAAGGCCTCTTGACACCTCTCCTACAACACACCACAGACATAAGGCCTGTAGACTCCTCTCCTACAACACAACACAGACATAAGGCCTGTAGACACCTCTCCTACAACACACCACAGACTAGGCCTGTAGACACCTCTCCTACATACACAGACATAAGGCCTGTAGACACCTCTCCTACAACACACCACAGACATAAGGCCTGTAGACACCTCTCCTACATACACACCACAGACTAGGCCTGTAGACACCTCTCCTACAACACACCACAGACATAAGGCCTGTAGACACCTCTCCTACAACACACCACTGACATAAGGCCTGTAGACACCTCTCCTACAACACACCACTGACATAAGGCCTGTAGACACCTCTCCTACAACACACCACAGACTAGGCCTGTAGACACCTCTCCTACATACACACCACATACATAAGGCCTGTAGACTCCTCTCCTACAACACAACACAGACATAAGGCCTGTAGACACCTCTCCCACAACCCAACACAGACGTAAGGCCTGTAGACACCTCTCCTACAACACACCACTGACATAAGGCCTGTAGGCACCTCTCCTACATACACAGACATAAGGCCTGTAGACACCTCTCCTACACACACACCACAGACATAAGGCCTGTAGACACCTCTCCTACATACACACCACAGACATAAGGCCTGTAGCCACCTCTCCTACATACACACAACAGACATAAGGCCTGTAGCCACCTCTCCTACATACACACAACAGACATAAGGCCTGTAGACACCTCTCCTACAACACAACACAGACATAAGGCCTGTAGACACCTCTCCTACATACACACCACAGACATAAGGCCTGTAGCCACCTCTCCTACATACACACCACAGACATAAGGCCTGTAGACACCTCTCCTACAACACACCACAGATGTAAGGCCTGTAGATACCTCTCCTACATACACAACACAGACATAAGGCCTGTAGGCACCTCTCCTACATACACAGACATAAGGCCTGTAGACACCTTTCCTACAACACACCACAGACATAAGGCCTGTAGACACCTCTCCTACAACACAACACAGACATAAGGCCTGTAGACACCTCTCCTACAACACACCACAGACATAAGGCCTGTAGACACCTCTCCTACAACACAACACAGACATAAGGCCTGTAGACACCTCTCCTACAACACAACACAGACATAAGGCCTGTAGACACCTCTCCTACAACACACCACAGACGTAAGGCCTGTAGACACCTCTCCTACAACACAACACAGACGTTAGGCCTGTAGACACCTCTCCTACATACACAACACAGATATAAGGCCTGTAGACACCTCTCCTACATACACAGACATAAGGCCTGTAGCCACCTCTCCTACATACACACCACAGACGTAAGGCCTGTAGACACCTCTCCTACATACACACAACAGACGTAAGGCCTGTAGCCACCTCTCCTACAACACAACACAGACGTAAGGCCTGTAGACACCTCTCCTACAACACACCACAGACATAAGGCCTGTAGACACCTCTCCTACAACACAACACAGACATAAGGCCTGTAGACACCTCTCCTACAACACACCACAGACGTAAGGCCTGTAGACACCTCTCCTACAACACAACACAGACGTTAGGCCTGTAGACACCTCTCCTACATACACAACACAGATATAAGGCCTGTAGACACCTCTCCTACATACACAGACATAAGGCCTGTAGCCACCTCTCCTACATACACACCACAGACGTAAGGCCTGTAGACACCTCTCCTACATACACACAACAGACGTAAGGCCTGTAGCCACCTCTCCTACAACACAACACAGACGTAAGGCCTGTAGACACCTCTCCTACATACACAGTGTTGTGTGTTGGTGCTATGTGAAGTAAACAGTCTGTGATTGTGAGATGTCTTTTGTTGTGTTATACCTTGCTCGGGTCGTCCCACAGACGTCGCTCCAGCAACAGATAAATCTTCTCATAGTCGTCCCTCACACACGGGTGCCCAGGGCCTGCAACACAAGCTAGTTAATATCTCCACATTAACCACATGGACCGATTACAAAGTGAAAACCACCTGAGGTGAGGTGAGGTGAAATTGGGTTTAACGTTGCGTCCAAGATTATTGCACTTATATAGTGAAGTGCATGCACGTGGGAGTGTGGCTGCTTGTACTAGACTGGACTGATGCCGATTTATAGTGCTAGCTCACTGAGATACCATGCCGCAGTTTAACATGAATACTCCACTGAGACACAGTATACTGACTCCGAGCCGACCAGTCCTTGTTTTAGCCCCTCAATGCCGAGCGCCAGACAGGGTAACAACAAGTACCATCTTTTAACGTCTTTTGGTATGACATGGCTGGGGGTTGAACCCTGGACCTTCTGCTCTCCAGGCGGACGCTCTACCACCAGACCACGGAGGCGGTCTAAAAAACACCTGAAAACATATCTTTCAAGAAACTGTGAGACAACAGATTGTAATTAATTTTTGATGTTTTCATTAAGTTGTGCAGAAACAAAACAGTAAAAAGTTTGGAGGTGCACGATCTCCCCTTGTGCCATTCCCTCTACCTCCCTCTAATGTGCTAATTGTGCCATTCCCTCTACCTCCCTCTAATGCACAAATTGTGGCATTCCCTCTTAGATGCACCCTGTGCCCTGCGCCCTGCACCCACCAAGGGAGATAAGGAGCTTGGCTGCCAGTTCCCGGTGCTTCCAGACGATGGATGTTGCGAGGATGTCCTGTACGCTGGTGATGACGCTGCTGTCGGTGCAGTTCAGTTGCTTCACCAGGATCTCCACTGCCTGCAGAAAGAAAGGACATATATGAAGACATTGAAGACACTCATCTCCACTGTCTGCAGAATATGAGGACATGTGACACTGATCTCTACTATCTGCAGAATAGGAGGACATGGGACACTGATCTCTACTGTCTGCAGAATATGAGGACATGGGACACTGATCTCTACTATCTGCAGAATAGGAGGACATGGGACACTGATCTCCACTGTCTGCAGAATATGAGGACATGGGACACTGATCTCTACTATCTGCAGAATAGGAGGACATGGGACACTGATCTCCACTGTCTGCAGAACAGGAGGACATGGGACACTGATCTCTACTATCTGCAGAACAGGAGGACATGGGACACTGATCTCTACTGTCTGCAGAATAGGAGGACATGGGACACTGATCTCTACTGTCTGCAGAATAGGAGGACATGGGACGCTGATCTCTACTATCTGCAGAACAGGAGGACATGGGACACTGATCTCTACTGTCTGCAGAACAGGAGGACATGGGACACTGATCTCTACTATCTGCAGAACAGGAGGACATGGGACGCTGATCTCTACTATCTGCAGAACAGGAGGACATGGGACGCTGATCTCTACTGTCTGCAGAACAGGAGGACATGGGACACTGACTTCCAGTTTCTGCAGGATGAGGGGACATTGGGACACTGATCTGCAGGACAAAGGGACATTGAGGACACTGATCTCCACTTTCTGCAAGACAGGGGACATATATGAGTACACTCCTCCACTGTCTGCAGGACAAAGGGACAGGAGGACACTGATCTCCACTGTCTGCAGGGCAGGAGGACACAGAGGACACTGACTTCCAGTGTCTGCAGGATGAGAGGACATTGAGGACACTGATCTGCAGGACAAAGGGACAGGAGGACACTGATCTCCACTGTCTGCAGGGCAGTAAGACAGGGGGCCACTGATCACATGTACTTCAATTGTTTGATAGGCATTACTTAGAAGTTGACAGATGACAAAGTGGACACAAATTATGGATAACAACTTCTTTAATACTGTAAAGGCTCTATCTACCAGGACCGCAGACAGACCTTGGACTTGATGTGGGAATCGGTGGACTCGGTCAGCGCCTTCTTCAACTTCTCCTTGCCGTTGGCATCAGCCACACACAACCGCCCCAGCAGCACCGCCGCCTCAAATGATATCGGATCCTCGGGGTCAGGGTTCCGACAGAAGTGGCTCAAGATCTTCACCAGCTCAGGAAAGGTTGGCATGTTCTGGAAGAGATGAACATCGTTATCGTCCTCCATCACTGGACTCAGCTAGAGGTTAGTGCTGTCATAGTCCTACGTACACTGAATCACTGGGGAAAGGAAATGCCAATTACAACGCTTAATAGAAATATTCCTTGTTGTCTTCTTTGGATGGCACACTGTTCATGATTTGACTGACTGGTTGTTATTGGTCATGTGACACATTGGTTCCCAAGGTTACAACAGATACAAGGAATAAAATGTCTCCAAGTGATTACTTCAATTGTCGATTAAAATCTAAAACATGACTTTGAATACCCGCCAGGTTGATGACATGGCATTACGCAATAGTCACTCACTCACTCTGAAATCCTCCACAACTGACAATGCTTTCTGTGTGGACGCAACAACTGCTCACTGAAAAGGGGAGTGAGTGAGTGTTGTTTTATGCCGCTTTTAGCAATATTCCAGCTATATCACAGCGGGGGACACCAGAAATGGGCTTCTTACATTGTACCCATAACTGGAATCGAACCCGGGTCTTCGACATGACGAGCGAACACTTTATCCACTAGGCTAGCACACCGCCCCTCTCACTGATACAGAACTTCACAACCCAGCAGACATGTTTGTGCTGTAGCCAGTGAATAGTTGAGGTGAGACAATACATCGGTGATACAATGCATGATACATGTTTGACTGTATCAATACAAGAAAATGCACTTGCTAATAGACATTCCTTTTTACTCATTTAATGACCTTCCCCACATTTTAATTAGGGTTTTAAGTTCAATACTAAAAATAGCTGCCACAGCCAGCTTTTCCTTCGAACCTGCCCTGAAATGTTTATAGTCAAGAAGTTTCTTCACAAATTGATGTTAATATGGGTATGTTGACACCTATCGTATCGTGATCTATGTATTGTGATACATATCGTATCGTGACCTTCCTTCACCCCAGGGAACAGCTCACCTTGTCTACATACTGCACGTTTTTCCCGTTGATCATGGTCTTGATGAGGTCCTGTCGGATCTCGGTGTTGCCGATAGCCAGGTACTTGAGCAGCACCTGCAGGATCTCATCCTCCCAGCAGCCTGTCCACATACAACTGCAGAGTCAGGGGGTGGGGAGTCAGGGGGTGGGGAGACAGGGGGTGGGGAGTCAGGGGGTGGGGAGACAGGGGGTGGGGAGTCAGGGGGTGGGGAGACAGGGGGTGGGGAGACAGGGGGTGGGGAGACAGGGGGTGGGGAGACAGGGGGTGGGGAGTCAGGGGGTGGGGAGTCAGGGGGTGGGGAGACAGGGGGTGGGGAGACAGGGGGTGGGGAGACAGGGGGTGGGGAGACAGGGGGTGGGGAGACAGGGGGTGGGGAGACAGGGGGTGGGGAGACAGGGGGTGGGGAGACAGGGGGGTGGGGAGACAGGGGGTGGGGAGACAGGGGGTGGGGAGACAGGGGGTGGGGAGACAGGGGGTGGGGAGACAGGGGGTGGGGAGACAGGGGGTGGGGAGACAGGGGGTGGGGAGACAGGGGGTGGGGAGACAGGGGGGTGGGGAGACAGGGGGTGGGGAGACAGGGGGTGGGGAGACAGGGGGTGGGGAGACAGGGGGGTGGGGAGACAGGGGGTGGGGAGACAGGGGGTGGGGAGACAGGGGGTGGGGAGACAGGGGGTGGGGAGACAGGGGGTGGGGAGACAGGGGGTGGGGAGACAGGGGGTGGGGAGACAGGGGGTGGGGAGACAGGGGGTGGGGAGACAGGGGGGTGGGGAGACAGGGGGGTGGGGAGACAGGGGGTGGGGAGACAGGGGGTGGGGAGACAGGGGGTGGGGAGACAGGGGGTGGGGAGACAGGGGGTGGGGAGACAGGGGGTGGGGAGACAGGGGGTGGGGAGACAGGGGGTGGGGAGACAGGGGGTGGGGAGACAGGGGGGTGGGGAGACAGGGGGTGGGGAGACAGGGGGTGGGGAGACAGGGGGTGGGGAGACAGGGGGTGGGGAGACAGGGGGTGGGGAGACAGGGGGTGGGGAGTCAGGGGGTGGGGAGACAGGGGGTGGGGAGACAGGGGGTGGGGAGACAGGGGGTGGGGAGACAGGGGGTGGGGAGACAGGGGGTGGGGAGACAGGGGGTGGGGAGACAGGGGGTGGGGAGTCAGGGGGTGGGGAGACAGGGGGTGGGGAGACAGGGGGTGGGGAGACAGGGGGTGGGGAGACAGGGGGGTGGGTGGGTTGATAGATAGGTGGGTGGGTGGGTGGGTGGGTACACCATCACAGATATACACAATCATAGAGGACACAAAACCTTTGCTAGTCAATCTTTGCTTGTGTGTACCCACCAATGAGGATGAGAGACTTGGCACTCTCATATTGGACTCGCTGGTCCTCGTCCTTGTGGAGTCTCTCCTTCAGGGCATAGAAGACCATCGTGTCTCCACACCGCAGCATCCCCAGTTGCTGGAGCAGGACAAGACAGCATCAGGGATAGTTGTGTCGTGTGTTGTATGGAGGTAGTTGTGTGTTGTGTGGAGTTATTTCTGTGTCGTGTGTTGTGAGGAGATATTAAATTGTGTTGTGTTGAGAAATTGTGTCCTGTTGTGGTGCGTGGTCTAGTGATAGAGCATCCGCCCTGAGAGTGGAAGGCCCAGGGATCAATCCCTGGCCGCGACATACCAAAAGACATTCAAAGAAGGTATTTGTTGTTACCCTGCTCTGTGCTTGGCATTAAGGAGAAAAAACAAGGACAATGTACTGTGTCTGAGTGGGGTATTCATGTTAAAACTGCGACATGGTAGGCTCAGTAAGCTAGCAATATAAATCGGCATCAGTCTGGACAATTACAAGCAGCCACACACACGTGCATGCAATAATCTTGGACCTGAGGTAAACCCTATTTTTCACCTCACCTCACCTCATGTGTTGTGTAGAGACAGTTATGTCTTGTGGTGTTGTGTAGAGACAGTTGTGTCTTGTGGTGTTGTGTAGAGATAGTTGTGTCTTGTGGTGTTGTGTAGAGACAGTTGTGTCTTGTGGTGTTGTGTAGAGACAGTTGTGTCTTGTGGTGTTGTGTAGAGACAGTTGTGTCTTGTGGTGTTGTGTAGAGACAGTTGTGTCTTGTGGTGTTGTGTAGAGATAGTTGTGTCTTGTGGTGTTGTGTAGAGACAGTTGTGTCTTGTGGTGTTGTGTAGAGATAGTTGTGTCTTGTGGTGTTGTGTAGAGACAGGTGTGTCTTGTGGTGTTGTGTAGAGACAGTTGTGTCTTGTGGTGTTGTGTAGAGACAGTAGTGTCTTGTGGTGTTGTATAGAGACAGTTGTGTCTTGTGGTGTTGTGTAGAGACAGTTGTGTCTTGTGGTGTTGTGTAGAGACAGTTGTGTCTTGTGGTGTTGTATAGAGACAGTAGTGTCTTGTGGTGTTGTATAGAGACAGTAGTGTCTTGTGGTGTTGTGTAGAGACAGTAGTGTCTTGTGGTGTTGTGTAGAGACAGTTGTGTCTTGTGGTGTTGTGTAGAGACAGTTGTGTCTTGTGGTGTTGTGTAGAGACAGTTGTGTCTTGTGGTGTTGTGTAGAGACAGTAGTGTCTTGTGGTGTTGTGTAGAGACAGTAGTGTCTTGTGGTGTTGTGTAGAGACAGTTGTGTCTTGTGGTGTTGTATAGAGACAGTAGTGTCTTGTGGTGTTGTATAGAGACAGTTGTATCTTGTGGTGTTGTGTAGAGACAGTTGTGTCTTGTGGTGTTGTATAGAGACAGTAGTGTCTTGTGGTGTTGTATAGAGACAGTAGTGTCTTGTGGTGTTGTGTAGAGACAGTAGTGTCTTGTGGTGTTGTGTAGAGACAGTTGTGTCTTGTGGTGTTGTGTAGAGACAGTTGTGTCTTGTGGTGTTGTATAGAGACAGTTGTGTCTTGTGGTGTTGTGTAGAGACAGTAGTGTCTTGTGGTGTTGTGTAGAGACAATTGTGTCTTGTGGTGTTGTGTAGAGACAGTAGTGTCTTGTGGTGTTGTGTAGAGACAGTAGTGTCTTGTGGTGTTGTGTAGAGACAGTTGTGTCTTGTGGTGTTGTGTAGAGACAGTTGTGTCTTGTGGTGTTGTGTAGAGACAGTTGTGTCTTGTGGTGTTGTGTAGAGACAGTAGTGTCTTGTGGTGTTGTGTAGAGACAGTAGTGTCTTGTGGTGTTGTGTAGAGACAGTTGTGTCTTGTGGTGTTGTGTAGAGACAGTAGTGTCTTGTGGTGTTGTGTAGAGACAGTTGTGTCTTGTGCCGTTGTGTAGAGACAGTTGTGTCTTGTGGTGTTGTGTAGAGACAGTTGTGTCTTGTGGTGTTGTGTAGAGACAGTAGTGTCTTGTGGTGTTGTGTAGAGACAGTTGTGTCTTGTGGTGTTGTGTAGAGACAGTTATGTCCGGTTGTGTTGTGTCTTGCTCTGTATACTGAACAAACCTTGGCAGCATCCCTCCTCTCCTCGGCCCGGGGGGAGACCAGGTTGCTGTGGACGATTGTCTGAAATGTAAGACAACATTCCGTGAAATATACGACAAACATTGAGTGAAATATACGTCAGACATTGAGTGAAACACACATCAAACATTCCTTGAGATATACTTCAAACATTGAGCAAAACACACATCAAACATTCTTGAGATATACGTTAAACATTGAGTGAAATATACGCCACAAATTCCGTGAAATATACGCCACAAATTCCGTGAAATATATGTCAAACATTGTCAGAAATATACGTCAGACATTGAGTAAAACATACGTCACACATTGAGGATATGGAAGTGGTCCTACCTTCCCCTAACCGGGTTATGGAAGTGGTCCTACCTTCCCCCTAACTCAGGATGGGAAGTGGTCCTACCTTCCCCCTAACTCAGGATATGGAAGTGGTCCTACCTTCCCCCTAACCTGGGATATGGAAGTGGTCCTACCTTCCCCCTAACTCAGGATATGGAAGTGGTCCTACCTTCCCCCTAACTCAGGATATGGAAGTGGTCCTACCTTCTCCCTAACCCGGAATATGGAAGTGGTCCTACCTTCCCCCTAACCTGGGATATGGAAGTGGTCCTACCTTCCCCCTAACCCAGGATATGGAAGTGGTCCTTCCTTCCCCCTTACTCAGGATATGGAAGTGGTCCTACCTTCCCCCTAACCTGGGATATGGAAGTGGTCCTACCTTTACCCTAACCCAGGATATGGAAGTGGTCCTACCTTCCCCCTAACCTGGTATATAGAAGTGGTCCTACCTTTACCCTAACCCGGGATATGGAAGTGGTCCTACCTTTACCCTAACCCGGGATATGGAAGTGGTCCTACCTTTCCCCTAACCCGGGATATGGAAGTTGTCCTACCTTCCCCCTTACTCAGGATATGGAAGTGGTCCTACCTTTACCCTTACCCGGGATAGATATGGAAGTGGTCCTACCTTTACCCTAACTTGGGATATGGAAGTGGTCCTACCTTCCCCCTAACCCGGGATATGGAAGTGGTCCTACCTTAACCCTAACTTGGGATATGGAAGTGGTCCTACCTTTACCCTAACACGGGATATGGAAGTGGTCCTACCTTCCCCCTAACTTGGGATATGGAAGTGGTCCTACCTTAACCCTTATCCCTAACTCGGGATCTGGAATTGGTCCTACCTTCACCCTTATCCCTAACCCGGGATATGGAAGTGGTCCTACCTTTACCCTAACTTGGGATATGGAAGTGGTCCTACCTTCCCCCAAACCGGGGATATGGAAGTGGTCCTACCTTCACCCTAACCGGGGATATGGAAGTGGTCCTACCTTCACCCTAACCGGGGATACGGAAGTGGTCCTACCTTCACCCTTATCCCTAACCTGGGATATGGAAGTGGTCCTACCTTCCCCCTAACCCGGGATATGGAAGTGGTCCTATCTTTACCCTAACCTGGGATAATGAAGTGGTCCTACCTTTACCCTAACACGGGATATGGAAGTGGTTCTACCTTCCCCCTAACCGGGGATATGGAAGTGGTCCTACCTTCACCCTTATCCCTAACCTGGGATATGGAAGTGGTCCTACCTTTAGCCTAACCCAGGATATTGAAGTGGTCCTACCTTCCCCCTAACTCAGGATATGGAAGTGGTCCTACCTTCCCCCTAACCGGGGATATGGAAGTGGTCCTACCTTCCCCTTAACCGGGGATATGGAAGTGGTCCTACCTTTAGCCTAACCCAGGATATGGAAGTGGTCCTACCTTCCCCCTAACTCAGGATCTGGAAGTGGTCCTACCTTTAGGCTCACTCAGGATATGGAAGTGGTCCTACCTTCCCCCTAAACCGGGATATGGAAGTGGTCCTACCTTCATCCTAACCCGGGATATGAAAGTGGTCCTACCTTTAGCCTAACCTCGGATATGTAAGTGGCCCTACCTTCACCCTCTCCCACCGGAGTCCGGAGTACTGCTTGCCCCGAGACTTGGGCTTCATCTGGCCCCACTGGCTGATGGCTGAAACAAGCACAGTGGTAGAAGTCCCCAGAAGACCACGTCCTATACCAGCATATGGACTGTATTGCTAAGGCCTTACTCAATCATGTTACATGCATCGTCCTTCCAGCTTGTAAACCAGGTGACTAGTTAGCATAATGGCTTACACTCAGAAATAGGTGTAGGGGATAACATGAGTATTCCATCATTAGTTAATAGAAATCATACAAATACATCTTTGAAGACAATTAATACAGCCATTTCTAAAATTTAATCCAGTGTGTTTAAACTTCATTCTCCATGACAAAACTGGGAAAATAACTGAACAGGAACTGATCACAACATCCTACTTAACAGGAACTGATCACAACATCCTACTTAACAGAAACTGATCACAACATCCTACTTAACAGGAACTGATCACAACTTCCTACTTAACAGGAACTGATCACAACATCCTACTTAACAGAAGCTGATCACAACATCCTACTTAACAGGAACTGATCACAACTTCCTACTTAACAGGAACTGATCACAACATCCTACTTAACAGGAACTGATCACAACATACTACTTAACAGGAACTGATCACAACATCCTACTTAACAGGAACTGATCACAACATTCTACTTAACAGGAACTGATCACAACATCCTACTTAACAGGAACTGATCACAACATCCTACTTAACAGGAACTGATCACAACATCCTACTAAACAGGAACTGATCACAACATCCTACTTAACAGGAACTGATCACAACATCCTACTTAACAGGAACTGATCACAACTTCCTACTTAACAGGAACTGATCACAACTTCTTACTTAACAGGAACTGATCACAACATCCTACTTAACAGGAACTGATCACAACATCCTACTTAACAGGAACTGATCACAACATCCTACTTAACAGGAACTGATCACAACATCCTACTTAACAGGAACTGATCCCATCTTCCTACTGAACAGGAACTGATCACAACATCCTACTTAACAGGAACTGATCACAACATCCTACTTAACAGGAACTGATCACAACTTCCTACTTAACAGGAACTGATCACAACATCCTACTTAACAGAAACTGATCACAACATCCTACTTAACAGGAACTGATCACAACTTCCTACTTAACAGGAACTGATCACAACATCCTACTTAACAGGAACTGATCACAACATACTACTTAACAGGAACTGATCACAACATCCTACTTAACAGGAACTGATCACAACATCCTACTTAACAGGAACTGATCACAACATTCTACTTAACAGGAACTGATCACAACTTCCTACTTAACAGGAACTGATCACAACATCCTACTTAACAGGAACTGATCACAACATCCTACTTAACAGGAACTGTTCACAACATCCTACTAAACAGGAACTGATCACAACATCCTACTTAACAGGAACAGATCACAACTTCCTACTTAACAGGAACTGATCACAACTTCCTACTGAACAGGAACTGATCACAACATCCTACTTAACAGGAACTGATCAAAACATCCTACTTAACAGGAACTGATCACAACATCCTACTTAACAGGAACTGATCACAACATCCTACTTAAAAGGAACTGATCACAACATCCTACTTAACAGGAACTGATCACAACTTCCTACTTAACAGGAACTGATCACAACTTCCTACTTAACAGGAACTGATCACAACATCCTACTTAACAGGAACTGATCACAACTTCCTACTTAACAGGAACTGATCACAACATCCTACTTAACAGGAACTGATCACAACATCCTACTTAACAGAAACTGATCACAACATCCTACTTAACAGGAACTGATCACAACTTTCTACTTAACAGGAACTGATCACAACATCCTACTTAACAGGAACTGATCACAACATCCTACTTAACAGGAACTGATCACAACATCCTACTTAACAGGAACTGATCACAACATCCTACTTAACAGAAACTGATCACAACATCCTACTTAACAGGAACTGATCACAACATCCTACTTAACAGGAACTGATCACAACATCCTACTTAACAGGAACTGATCACAATATACTCCTTAACAGGAACTGATCACAACATCCTACTTAACAGGAACTGATCACAACATCCTACTTAACAGGAACTGATCACAACATCCTACTTAACAGGAACTGATCACAACATCCTACTTTACAGGAACTGATCACAACTTCCTACTTAACAGGAACTGATCACAACATCCTACTTAACAGGAACTGATCACAACATCCTACTTAACAGGAACTGATCACAACTTCCTACTTAACAGGAACTGATCACAACATCCTACTTAACAGGAACTGATCACAACTTCCTACTTAACAGGAACTGATCACAACATCCTACTTAACAGGAACTGATCACAACATCCTACTTAACAGGAACTGATCACAACATCCTACTTAACAGGAACTGATCACAACTTCCTACTTAACAGGACCTGATCACAACATCCTACTTAACAGGAACTGATCACAACATCCTACTTAACAGGAACTGATCATAGTTGCCTCAGTCAGGAACCATGAACATGATAATATACAAACATATATACTTATACTTATATAGATACCTATCCCAGTTACCATGATCATAGGAGCAGGGATCTCTGCCATTTGGGTATGATGATACACCAGGTCAGGTTTGGACCAGACAAACCAGTGATTGATGATGGGAGCATGGATCTCTGCCATTTGAGTATGATGATATACCAGGTCAGGTTTGGACCAGACAAACCAGTGATTGATGATGGGAGCATGGATCTCTGCCATTTGAGTATGATGATATACCAGGTCAGGTTTGGACCAGACAAACCAGTGATTGATGATGGGAGCATGGATCTCTGCCATTTGAGTATGATGATATACCAGGTCAGGTTTGGACCAGACAAACCAGTGATTGATGATGGGAGCATGGATCTCTGCCATTTGAGTATGATGATATACCAGGTCAGGTTTGGACCAGACAAACCAGTGATTGATGATGGGAGCATGGATCTCTGCCATTTGAGTATGATGATATACCAGGTCAGGTTTGGACCAGACAAACCAGTGATTGATCATTGGAGCATGGATCTCTGCCATTTGAGTATGATGATATACCAGGTCAGGTTTGGACCAGACAAACCAGTGATTGATGATGGGAGCATGGATCTCTGCCATTTGAGTATGATGATATACCAGGTCAGGTTTGGACCAGACAAACCAGTGATTGATGATGGGAGCATGGATCTCTGCCATTTGAGTATGATGATATACCAGGTCAGGTTTGGACCAGACAAACCAGTGATTGGTCATAGGAGCAGGGATCTCTGCCATTTGAGTATGATGATATACCAGGTCAGGTTTGGACCAGACAAACCAGTGATTGGTGATGGGTGTGACATGAGTGTCAGGACATGTATGCGGTGGTGGGAACAACCAATCCTGTTTTGAACATTTCTGTATACCAACAAAATATCAGTGTCTGCAGATTTTACATAGTGTTTTATAGAACAGATATGAAAGGATTACATATTAGTACAAGCCGAGTACAGGCATTAGACATGTAACAGACCCTAGCCATGTATATACGGACCAGATCATGCTACAGCCACATGACATAAGCGTTATCATGTACAAGGACATGGGAGATAAACATTATTGCGTACATTGACATTTGAGATAAGCATTATTGTCCACATGGGCACATGAGAGAAGCATTATTGCGTACATTGACATATGAGATAAACATTATCGATTACAAGGGCACATGAGATAAGCGTTATAGTCAAGAAGGGCAAAAGATATAAGCATTATAGTCCACAAGGGCACATGAGATAAGCGTTATAGTCAAGAAGGGCACATGAGATAAGCATTAGACACGAGATAAGTGTTATAGTTTACAAGGGCTCATGAGATAAGCATTAGACACGAGATAAGTGTTATAGTTTACAAGGGCTCATGAGATAAGCATTAGACATGAGATAAGTGTTATAGTTCACAAGGGCTCATGCTGCTACCTGAGTCTTCAGAGTCTTTGCGTTCTGTCAAGAAAATCATCAGTTTGACCAGCTATGCTGACACGGCATTTTTCTACATTTAGTTTCTAACGAGCTGTTATGAGTTCTTATTGCCATGGTAACAGTCCATGAATACAGATAGAACCTTGTGTCTTCTCCACAGGTGAGACTACATCTCTCCATGGGTCTTTGTGTACATGGGTGCTTGTTTGTCTGCATGGGTGCTTGTTTGTCTGCATAGGTGCTTGTTTGTCTACATGGGTGCTTGTTTGTCTGCATAGGTGCTTGTTTGTCTGTATGGGTGCTTGTTTGTCTGCATGGGTGCTTGTTTGTCTGCATAGGTGCTTGTTTGTCTACATGGGTGCTTGTTTGCCTGCATGGGTGCTTGTTTGTCTGCATAGGTGCTTGTTTGTCTGCATAGGTGCTTGTTTGTCTGCATGGGTGCTTGTTTGTCTGCATGGGTGCTTGTTTGTCTACATAGGTGCTTGTTTGTCTGCATAGGTGCTTGTTTGTCTGCATAGGTGCTTGTTTGTCTGCATGGGTGCTTGTTTGTCTGCATAGGTGCTTGTTTGTCTGCATGGGTGCTTGTTTGTCTGCATGGGTGCTTGTTTGTCTGCATGGGTGCTTGTTTGTCTGCATAGGTGCTTGTTTGTCTGCATGGGTGCTTGTTTGTCTGCATAGGTGCTTGTTTGTCTGTATGGGTGCCTGTTTGTCTACAGAGGTGCTTGTTTGTCTGCATAGGTGCTTGTTTGTCTACATAGGTGCTTATTTGTCTGCATAGGTGCTTGTTTGTCTGCATAGGTGCTTGTTTGTCTACATAGGTGCTTGTTTATCTGCATGGGTGCTTGTTTGTCTGCTTAGGTGCTTGTTTGTCTACAAAGGTGCTTGTTTGTCTACATATGTGCGTGTTTGTCTGCATGGGTGCTTGTTTGTCTGCATGGGTGCTTGTTTTTCTGCATAGGTGCTTGTTTCTCTTCATAGGTGCTTGTTTATCTACATAGGTGCTTGTTTGTCTGCATGGGTGCTTGTTTGTCTCCATGGGTGCTTGTTTGTCTGCTTAGGTGCTTGTTTGTCTACATAGGTGCTTGTTTGTCTACAGAGGTGCTTATTTATCTACATAGGTAACTGTTTGTCTACATACGTGCTTGTTTGTCTACAGAGGTGCATAGTTGTCTACAGAGGTGCTTATTTATCTACATAGGTGCTTGTTTGTATACAGAGGTGCTTATTTGTCTACAGAGGTGCTTATTTATCAACATAGGTGCTTATTTGTCTACAAAGGTGCTTATTTATCTACATAGGTGCTTGTTTGTCTACATAGGTGCTTGTTTGTCTGCATGGGTGCTTGTTTGTCTGCATGGGTGCTTGTTTGTCTACAGAGGTGCTTGTTTGTCTACAAAGGTGCTTATTTATCTACATATGTGCTTATTTATCTACATAGGTGCTTGTTTGTCTACAGAGGTGCTTGTTTGTCTGCATAGGTGCTTATTTATCTACATAGGTGCTTGTTTGTGTAAAGGTGCTCGTTTGTGTGGTACTTCTAGAGCACTGTGGCTGTTAAAAAGTCTGACTACAATCTAATATGAAGTGATATAGCTGAATATGCTATACTATACTGAATATAGGTACTATACTTTCTGAACACTGCATACAATCATGTGCTATACTATCTGAACACTGCATAAAATCATATACTACACTATCTGAACACTGCATACAATCATGTGCTATACTATTTGAACACTGCATACAATCATGTGCTACACTATCTGAGCACTGCATACAAATATATGCTATACTATCTGAACACTGCATACAATCATGTGCTACACTATCTGAACACTGCATACAAACATATGCTATACTATCTGAACACTGCATACAATCATGTGCTATACTATCTGAACACTGCATAAAATCATATGCTACACTATCTGAACACTGCATACAATCATGTGCTATACTATTTGAACACTGCATACAATCATGTGCTACACTATCTGAGCACTGCATACAAATATATGCTATACTATCTGAACACTGCATACAATCATGTGCTACACTATCTGAACACTGCATACAACATATGCTATACTATCTGAACACTGCATACAATCATATGCTATACTATCTGAACACTGCATACAATCATATGCTACACTATCTGAACACTGCATACAATCATGTGCTATACTATCTGAACACTGCATACAATCATGTGCTATACTATCTGAACACTGCATACAATCATGTGCTATACTATCTGAACACTGCATACAAGCATGTGCTATACTATCTGAACACTGCATACAATCATATGCTACACTATCTGAACACTGCATACAATCATGTGCTATACTATCTGAACACTGCATACAATCATGTGCTATACTATCTGAACACTGCATACAATCATGTGCTATACTATCTGAACACTGCATACAATCATGTGCTATACTATCTGAACACTGCATACAATCATATGCTACACTATCTGAACACTGCATACAATCATATGCTACACTATCTGAACACTGCATACAATCATGTGCTATACTATCTGAACACTGCATACAATCATGTGCTATACTATCTGAACACTGCATACAATCATGTGCTATACAATCTGAACACTGCATACAATCATGTGCTATACTATCTGAACACTGCATACAATCATGTGCTATACTATCTGAACACTGCATACAATCATGTGCTATACTATCTGAACACTGCATACAATCATATGCTACACTATCTGAACACTGCATACAATCATATGCTACACTATCTGAACACTGCATATGCTACACTATCTGAACACTGCATACAATCATGTGCTATACTATCTGAACACTGCATACAATCATGTGCTACACTATCTGAACACTGCATACAATCATTTGCTACACTATCTGAACACTGCATACAAATATATGCTACACTATCTGAACAATGCATACAGACATATGCTACACTATATGAACACTGCATACAAACATGTGCTCACCTCCTTGCAGCTTGGCCATGGCTTTTGCCATCGAAAATGTCTGTTTCAGCTTCTTTCTGAAATCCCAGCAACACAGTGACATGAAAGAAAAGGCATCCCTTTGAGAAGGTGGCTGATTCAGCGACATTCTGCCCTCCTGACCCTGGTTTGTTGAACACAATACTTGTACCTCAGAATTTTTGCTGCTATTGTCACAGATGGACCCATATGTTTACAGATTGTGTAGTGTTGCAAGAGCTGACATGCACTAAGGAGCCCTCCAACACCCATAGTCCTCCCCCATCTCAAATAGCCCCTCCCCAACTCACATAGCCCCTCCATTAACTCACATAGCCCCTCCCTGAAACACATAGGTCCTTTCAAACTCAGAAAGCCCCTCCCTCAAACACACAAAGCCCCTCCCCTAACTCACATAGCCCCTCCCCCAACACACATAAGTCCTTTCAAACACAGATAGCCCCTCCCCCAACACAGATAGCCCCTTCCCCAACACTCATAGCCCCTCCCCCAACACAGATAGCCCCTTCCCCAACACTCATAGCCCCTTCCCCAACACACATAGCCCCTTCCCCAACACTCATAGCCCCTTCCCCAACACTCATAGCCCCTCCCCCAACACACATAGCCCCTTCCCCAACACTCATAGCCCCTCCCCCAACACACATAGCCCCTTCCCCAACACTCATAGCCCCTTCCCCAACACTCATAGCCCCTTCCCCAACACTCATAGCCCCTCCCCAACACTCATAGCCCCTCCCCCAACACACATTGCCCCTTCCCCAACACACATAAGTCCTTTCAAACTCAGATAGCCCCTCCCTCAAACACACATAGCCTCTCCCCTAAGTCACATAGCCCCATCCCCCAACACACATAGGTCCTCTCAAACTCAGATAGCCCCTCCCTCAAACTCACATAGCCCCTCTCTCAAACTCACATAGCCTCTCCCCCAACTCACATAGCCCCTCCCCCAACTCACATAGCCCCTCTCTCAAACGCACATAGCCCCTCCCCCAACTCACATAGCCCCTCCCTCAAACTCACATAGCCTCTCCCACAACTCACATAGCCCTTCCCCAACACACAAAAGTCCTTTCAAAACCAGATAGCCCTTCCCAAACACATAGCCCCCAGAATACAGCTGCCTACTGCAGAAATCTGTCTGCAGCTGTCTATAGCAACTGTGATGGTCTATCTACACCTGTCTATGCCTACTGTGATGGTCTATCTACACCTGTCTATGCCTACTGTGATGGTCTATCTACACCTGTCTATGCCTACTGTGGTGGTCTATCTACAACTGTCTATGCCAACCTTGATGGTCTATCTACACCTGTCTATGCCTACTGTGATGGTCTATCTACACCTGTCTATGCCTACTGTGATGGTCTATCTACACCTGTCTATGCCTACTGTGATGGTCTATCTACACCTGTCTATGTCTACTGTGATGGTCTATCTACACCTGTCTGTGTCTACTGTGATGGTCTATCTACACCTGTCTATGCCTGCTGTGATGGTCTATCTACACCTGTCTATGCCTACTGTGATGGTTTATCTACACTTGTCTATGCCTACTGTGGTCTACAGAGCCTGTGATTACCTGAACTGATCCCCTTCAACATGGATTATGAACGGACTGAAAACAAGGAGCCACATGTGAACTTTATTGTCCTAACTGCTGTTCACAGTATAGTCCTACCGCTGGTCACAGTATTGTCCTACTGCTGGTCACAGTATTGTCCTACTGCTGGTCACAGTTTAGTTCCTACCATTGGTTACATTATTGTCCTACCGCTAGTCACAGTATTGTCCTACCGCTGGTCACAGTATTGTTCCTACTGCTGGTCACAGTATAGTTCCTACCGCTGGTCACAGTTTAGTTCCTACCATTGGTTACAGTATTGTCCTACCGCTGGTCACAGTATTGTCCTACCGCTGGTCACAGTATTGTTCCTACTACTGGTCACAGTATAGTTCCTACCGCTGGTCACAGTTTAGTTCCTACCATTGGTTACAGTATTGTCCTACCGCTGGTCACAGTATTGTCCTACCGCTGGTCACAGTATTGTCATACCACTGGTCACAGTTTAGTTCCTACCACTGGTCACAGTATTGTTCCTACCACTGGTCATAGTATTGTTCCTACCGCTGGTCACAGTATTGTCCTACCACTGGTCACATTATTGTCCTACCACTGGTCACAGTATTGTTCCTACCACTGGTCACAGTATTGTTCCTACCACTGGTCACAGTATTGTTCCTACCACTGGTCACAGTATTGTTCCTACCATTGGTTACAGTATTGTTCTACCGCTGGTCACAGTATTGTTCCTACCACTGGTCACAGTATAGTTCCTACCATTGGTTACAGTATAGTCCTACCGCTGGTCACAGTATTGTTCCTACCGCTGGTCACAGTATGGGTCCTACCATTGGTTACAGTATAGTCCTACCGCTGGTCACAGTATTGTTCTACCGCTGGTCACAGTATAGTTCCTATCGCTGGTCACAGTTTAGTTCCTACCGCTGGTCACAGTATTGTCCCACATTGGTTACAGTATTGTCCTACTGCTGGTCACAGTATTGTTCCTACCGCTGGTCACAGTTCAGTTCCTACCATTGGTCACAGTATAGTTCCTACCATTGGTTACAGTATTGTCCTACCACTGGTCACAGTATTGTCCTACCGCTGGTCACAGTACAGTCCTAACATTGGTCACAGTATTATTCCTACTGCTGGTCACAGTATTGTCCTTACCGTTGGTTACAGTATTGTTCCTACTGCTGGTCACAGTATTGTCCTTACCATTGGTTACAATATTGTCCTACCACTGGTCACAGTGATAGAAACTAACTGATAACATTTAGCAAAACCCTTAATAATGGCAAATGTCTACTAGTCCTTAGGGTGCCTTAACTATTTGGCAGTTAGGCAAGGACTACAGGACAAGTGCCAATGTTTAACGCTGCATCTGCAAGCAGCTGATGAAACTCACGCAGAGGTCTTGCTGCTAGCCGTCTTGTCTCGCTCCAACATTCTCCGGAACCGCCGCTCGTGTATACTGGGGCCGCTGGGTTTAGGCTTGGGCTTCTCATGGTACAACACCAGCTTGGTCTCCTCCATCAGGTTGTGCTGGTCAACCAATCGCTGGGCTGGCTCTTTCTGACACGTGTCAGGGTCAACGTACAGATCCGTCAGTTTTGGGTACACCTTGTTCTGGTTCTAAAATATACACAACTGATCTCAGTAATGAGTTACACATTGGACTGATAAAATCACTTCAGAATTACTTTAGTTATTGAATCAATTTCACAGCTTAAGGCCTGGACACCACTGCAGAGAAACACATGATGATGATGCAGTGAATGATGAGTTTGAGCTATGGCAACTCACACACTATTCCAGCATCACCAGGACAGGAGACACAACAGCAGGGATCCACTCACGGTAAACATGCTAGGAAGCAAACTGAAATCTTCAGCTTTTGTCACAAGTGATTGATTGTTGGATTGTTTGTTGCTGACACTCAGCAATATTCCAGCTACCTGACATCAGCAAGGGGGACATGATGACATGCATCAATCCAGTCCAGGAGCCTGACCTCCCACCTCACAAACTTATTGTCACAAGCTTTGCAGCCTCCAACACTTGTGACAAACAAACAAAGTGACAGCATCTCCATAGCTGACAGTATACCAAATCATATACATAGAAAATCCATTGACAGCAAATGTTATGACAGTGATCCAATGACTGACGGTTCGTGTGATGGGCAGCACGTCCGGCGGTGGGATGGGCTTGGGGTAGTACACCAGACGACCAGACAGTGACGTCCCGAGACGTTTCTCCTCAATTCTCGGAAGGATGACCGTGTCGACGGTCTGCGGGTGTGGGGATTCGGCAGCTGTGAGGTCCGAGGATGCCTGGTAGATAAGAAGCATATGTTGATAGGATTCTGTTTCATCACAATGTCCAGTCAAGACTGTCGGTAATACTACAAGATACACTGCAGTCTGTACTGAGCTGGGGGAGTCAGTGGTGCAGCCAGCAAGATTGTAAGTACCAGGTCAAAGATTGTAAGTACCAGGTCAAAGATTGTAAGTACCAGGTCAAAGATTGAAAGTACCAGGTCAAAGATTGTAAGTACCAGGTCAAATATTGTAAGTACCAGGTCAAAGATTGTAAGTACCAGGTCAAATATTGTAAGTACCAGGTCAAAGATTGTAAGTACCAGGTCAAAGATTGTAAGTACCAGGTCAAAGATTGTAAGTACCAGGTCAAAGATTGTAAGTACCAGGTCAAAGATTGTAAGTACCAGGTCAAAGATTGTAAGTACCAGGTCAAAGATTGAAAGTACCAGGTCAAAGATTGTAAGTACCAGGTCAAACATTGTAAGTACCAGGTCTAAGTTTGTAAGGATCAGGTCAAAGATTGTCCAAGATCAGCCATCTGCACAGTAGTGCTCAGGGTCCGAGTATCCCCTGAACGTCCATGTGTCATTAGAAGAGTGTACTGGATCCCATAAGCCTCTTCATCCCGTTGAAATGTGAAACAAATCTATGTTTACTGAGAAACATTGTAACACTGATGTGGTCGACATGTTTGACAAAACACATGTCCTGCTGAGGGACAGTTGAAGTACATCATGGAGCACTGTCATGACAGCACAGACCTAGACGACATCATGGAGTGTCATGACAGCACGGACCTAGATGACATCTAGGTCAATGCTGTCATGACCCTGCTCCATGATGTCATGATACTGCTCCATGATGTCATGACACAGCTCGGTGATGTCATGACACTGCTCCATGCTGTCATGACACAGCTCCATGATGTCATCTAGGTCCGTGCTGTCATGACACTGCTCTATGATGTCATGACAGCATGGAGCAGTGTCATGACAGCATGGACCTAGACAACATCGTGGAGCAGTGTCATGACAGCATGGAGCAGTGTCATGACAGCGTGGAGCAGTGTCATGACATCATGGAGCAGTGTCATGACAGCATGGAGCAGTGTCATGACAGCATAGAACAGTGTCATGACAGCACAGACCTAGACGACATCATGGAGCATTGTCACGACAGCATGGACCTCACGACAGCATGGACCTGACGACATCATGGAGCAGTGTCATGACATCATGGAGCTGTGTCAAGACAGCACGGACCGAGACAACATCATGGAGCAGTGTCATGACAGCACGGACCTAGATGACATCATGGAGCAGTGTCATTACAGCATGGACCTAGACGATATCATGGAGCTGTGTCATGACAGCATGGACCTAGATGACATCATGGAGCAGTGTCATGACAGCACGGACCTAGATGACATCATGGAGCTGTGTCATGGCATCATGGAGCACTGTCATGACAGCACGGACCTAGACGATATCATGGAGCTGTGTCATGACATCATAGAGCAGTGTCATGACAGCACGGACCTAGATGACATCATGGAGCTGTGTCATGACAGCATGGAGCAGTGTCATGACATCACCGAGCTGTGTCATGACATCATGGAGCAGTGTCATGACATCATGGAGCAGGGTCATGACAGCATTGACCTAGACGACATCATGGAGCAGTGTCATGACAGCATGGAGCAGTGTCATGACAGCACGGACCTAGACAACATCGTGGAGCAGTGTCATGACAGCATGGAGCAGTGTCATGACAGCGTGGAGCAGTGTCATGACATCATGGAGCAGTGTCATGACAGCATGGAGCAGTGTCATGACAGCATAGAACAGTGTCATGACAGCATGGACCTAGACGACATCATGGAGCAGTGTCAAGACAGCACAGACCTAGACGACGTCATGGAGCAGTGTCATGACAGCATGGCTCTAGATGACATCATGGAGCAGTGTCATGACAGCATGGACCTAGACGACATCATGGAGCAGTGTCATGACAGCACGGACCTAGACGACATCATGGAGCAGTGTCATGAAAGCACGGACCTAGACGACATCATGGAGTAGTGTCATGACAGCATGGACCTAGACAACATCGTGGAGCAGTGTCATGACAGCATGGAGCAGTGTCATGACAGCGTGGAACAGTGTCATGACATCATGGAGCAGAGTCATGACAGCATGGAGCAGTGTCATGACAGCATAGAACAGTGTCATGACAGCATGGACCTAGACGACATCATGGAGCAGTGTCAAGACAGCACAGACCTAGACGATATCATGGAGCAGTGTCATGAAAGCACGGACCTAGACGACATCATGGAGTAGTGTCATGACAGCATGGACCTAGATGACATCATAGAGCAGTGTCATGACAGCACGGACCTAGACGACATCATGGAGCAGTGTCATGACAGCACGGACCTAGACGACATCATGGAGCCGTGTCATGAAAGCACGGACCTAGACGACATCATGGAGTAGTGTCATGACAGCATGGACCTAGATGACATCATGGAGCAGTGTCATGACAGCATGGGCCTCACGACAGCAAGGACCTGACGACATCATGGAGCAGTGTCATGACATCATGGAGCTGTGTCATGACAGCACGGACCTAGAGGACATCATGGAGCAGTGTCATGACAGCACGGACCTAGATGACATCATGGAGCAGTGTCATGACAGCACGGACCTAGACGACATCATGGAGCAGTGTCATGACAGCATGGACCTAGACGACATCATGGAGCAGTGTCATGACAGCACGGACCTAGACGACATCCTGGAGCAGTGTCATGACAGCAAGGACCTAGACGACATCATGGAGCAGTGTCATGACAGCACGGACCTAGACGACATCATGGAGCAGTGTCATGACAGCACAGACCTAGACGACATCATTGTTAACTCTGCTGAAGCCACAACACAGGCTGCCACTGAGAGTGAGTGAGTGAGTTGGGTTTAACACCACTTTTAACATTATTTCGTTTATATCATGTCAGCTTAATGTGGGAGGAAAGCCTGAAGTGATGCAGGTCTCAGATGTTTACCACTTCGGTGAAACCCACGAGCAGGGGTATGGTGCTGACAAACCTAGAAACATACTCGGGGCGAACTGGGATTCTAACCCACAATCATAGGTTTCTGGCGTGCCCAAGGGATGTAACTCTGCACAGCAAATCGTGGCGCCTTAGAAGACTGGGCCACCCGTGTCCCCCTGCCACTGAGAGCCTGTCCAACCATTCCCATACACACTGCATGACTGGCATCTAAATAGGGAAACATACAGCTTTATGGATAACAACTTCCGGTTTATTGCATTTAGCAACGTTTCGATGAAGATTCTTACACCTTTATCACTCCAGCTTGACACCTACATTGAAATGTTGCTAAATGCAAGAAACCAGAAGCTGTTATCCATAAAGCTGTATGTTTTCTTACTTCTATACAGAACCCAGCACACCAACTACAGAGCTGTTTAGACAGCAAACACATCACCATGGAGACGGTAGCTCAGCCTACCTTGTTTCGGGGAGCACCTTTGCTGGACACTGGAAATACAAAACAACGGAAATCATTGAACAACAACATGTCTGTCTTCTAGATTGAATATTGTTTTTTCTTGCAAGTTTGAACACTACTTAAGATCTTTGTCTCTATCTGGGACAGGCGTCATCTAGTGTCACTATCTCAGACATAGGTCAACAAGTGTCACTATCTCAGACATGGGTCAACTAGTGTCACTATCTCAGACATGGGTCAACTAGTGCCACTATCTGGGACATGGATCAACTGGTGTCACTATCTCGGACATGGGTCAACTAGTGTCAATATCTGGGACATGGATCAACAAGTGTCACTATCTCAGACATGGGTCAACTAGTGTCACTATCTCGGACATGGGTCAACTAGTGTCGCTATCTGGGACATGGATCAACTAGTGTCACTATCTCAGACATGGGTCAACTAGTGTCTCTATCTCAGACATGGATCAACTACTGTCACTATCTCAGACATGGGTCAACTAGTGCCACTATCTGGGACTTGGATCAACTAGTGTCACTATCTCGGACATGGGTCAACTAGTGTCACTATCTGGGACATGGATCAACAAGTGTCACTATCTCGGACATGGATCAACTAGTGTCACTATCTCGGACATGGATCAACTAGTGTCACTATCTGGGACATGGATCAACTAGTGTCACTATCTGGGACATGGGTCAACTAGTGTCACTATCTCAGACATGGGTCAACTTGTGTCACTATCTCAGACATTGGTCAACTAGTGTCACTTTCTCAGACATGGGTCAACTTGTGTCTCTATCTCGGACATGGGTCAACTAGTGTCACTATCTCAGACATGGGTCACCTAGTGTCACTATCTCAGACATGGGTCAACTAGTGTCACTATCTTGGACATTGGTCAACTTGTGTCACTCACATCGACTGTCCAGACTCTGAAGGAAGCTGACCTCCCTAGGCACGTCAGCCTTTCTGCGTGTCGGGTTGACAGACAACATGGCGGCACTGTACATCTTGTCCTGCATTCCATGGATCCGTGTCGCCAGTTTGTCCAGGGCAACGCGCTGCAGATAAAGTGTGTTTTTTAAAACTTGTGATGCATGTTTTTTTCTGATATTCATATATATCAGGACCCTATTACAAATACATGAATACTATTACAAATACATGAATACTATTACAAATACATGAATACTATTACAAATACATGAATACTATTAAAAATGAATACTATTACAAATACATGAATACTATTACAAATACATGAATACTATTACAAATACATGAATACAATTACAAATATATGAATACTATTACAAATACATGAATACTATTACAAATACATGAATACTATTACAAATACATGAATACAATTACAAATATATGAATACTATTACAAATGCATGAATACTATTACAAATATATGAATACTATTACAAATACATGAATACTATTAAAAATGAATACTATTACAAATACATGAATACTATTACAAATACATGAATACTATTACAAATACATGAATACTATTACAAATACATGAATACAATTACAAATATATGAATACTATTACAAATACATGAATACTATTACAAATACATGAATACTATTACAAATACATGAATACAATTACAAATATATGAATACTATTACAAATATATGAATACTATTACAAATACATGAATACTATTACAAATACATGAATACAATTACAAATATATGAATACTATTACAAATATATGAATACTATTACAAATACATGAATACTATTACAAATACATGAATACAATTACAAATATATGAATACTATTACAAATATATGAATACTATTACAAATACATGAATACATTACAAATACATGAATACAATTACAAATATATGAATACTATTACAAATATATGAATACAATTACAAATATATGAATACTATTACAAATATATGAATACAATTAAAATACATGAATACATTACAAATACATGAATACTATTACAAATATATGAATACTATTACAAATACATGAATACAATTACAAATATATGAATACTATTACAAATATATGAATACTATTACAAATACATGAATACTATTACAAATACATGAATACATTACAAATATATGAACACCATTACAAACACAATCCCCTATTCACATATGATACAGATACAGTTTATGATTGCTGTGCCAGCTGGAACACCTCCTGCCACTAAGGAGTCCTTATATTAATGAACTTACATGGACGTCCTTTATATCGCTGCCCTTCCGGTGGGGGCGCCATGGCAATTCCTCAAATTCAGAATCCTCTGTCAAAAGAAATTAACCTCAGCAACCAATGGTGTACCTAACATCTGTCTACCTGGTATTCTAAAACATTCATAAAACAGAAATAACAACAAATTTCAGCCACGTATTTCCACTTTTTTCAATATTTGTTTTTTTCAGCTATTAATATTCACATCACTGTCCAAACAAAGTGTGTTAAAATATTTAAGTTTTAGAAATGAAACGGCAAAGACCATTTGAACTCTGACCTTTGTCAATGAATGTTCCTGGTACAGCCAGACCCACGTTGTGGTAGGAGAGTGGATCCACATCCCTCATCACCTCCGCAAACTCGCTCAGTTCGAACCTGTGATGTTCCGAGTTCCAGTACTCCTGTGCCATATCCTGGCTGTGACCTGGCTGTGCCTCGCCTGAAGAGTGAGTGAGTGAGTGAGTGAGTCATAATGTGGGAGAGAGCACTCTGATTCTGGCATGACTAAGGGATGCAACTCTGCACACCGAATTGTGGCAACTTCGAGGCCTGGGCAGCATGTACCCATGACTAGATGACAGCCTGACATCTGACCTGAAAACAGGCGACACACCATGACATCTGACCTGAAAACAGGCGACACACCATGACATCTGACCTGAAAACAGGCGACACACCATGACATCTGACCTGAAAACAGGCGACACACCATGACTTCTGACCTGAAGAAAGGCGACACAACATGACATCTGACCTGAAGACAGGTGACACAACATGACATCTGACCTGAAGACAAGTGACACATTGACTTCACGGCACAGTCTAAGTAGGAAAATCTTGAAAGAGACTATCTGAAACATCAGCCGAGCAGTGACTGAGGTCATGAATTCCACAGGGACCATTCACAGGAAGGGTAGAGGTTCTGAGTTACCTATCTTGCACTTAGTGGCGTACCTGTCAGGGGCTTCTCGCCCTCATCATGCAGGGTTGCTATGGTGACCTTGCTTTTTGGAGTGGACACCTCAGTGAGGAAGGTCGGCATCTGTTCCACTTTTGGCACAGCCTCAGTTGGTGATGATGCACAATGTTGGTCACTGGCCTGGCTGTTCGAATCCCCCCCCTTGTCTGAGTGAAGGTCACTGGCCTGGCTGTTGGAGGCACCCCCCTCACTATCAGGCTGGGATGCCTCATCTTCGCTCTGCTGAAACAGTGAAACAAAAAACATAACAAGGGATGAAATACTACACAGGAATGTGATCATCATAATTAATGCAAAACAGATAACTCTGTTTTGCAATTATCATGATAATAAAATTCCTGTATAGTGCAATCAGAAGAGTTGCCCCTGTAATCATTGTTGTATTAAGACCTAGTAAAATCCCAGATATTTTTTATGTTTGTACTTATCCTGCATTACTCCTTGATGCATATTACTGCTTGTTCTTGACAGAGAAAAGAGCTGTGTGAAGGTCTTTGCTTGAAGAAGTTGTTCCAATTAGTTGAGAGGCCAACCCTATCACGCAGCTCCCACGTGACCAAAGGAAGCGACGTCACAGATCCTCACAATACTCTGGAGTCCGAAACACCGGAAGGCATCGTGGGGAGGCAGCTCTGCGTTGGGTGGGTCCCTTTAGACGCAGTAATGCAGGATAAGTATACAAATATAAAAAATATCTAGGATTTTACTAGATTGTTTACTAATCCTGCATTTCTCCTTAATGCATGTTTATCCGAAGGAATCGGTGGAGGGCATACATTCAGATGTGGACTTTCATCTTTTTTTCCAGACTCTGTTCCCTCAGCCAATCCTTGGCTGTGTGGTCAGCTTCAGGTGACCACTCCATGTATGGGAAACTCCATTTCCCTCAGACCGTCCTCGGCTGTATGGTCGGCATCAATGACCATTACATGGAAGGGAAGAGTCAGGTATGTGTTGTGTCCGGGTACTACGCAGCCTTCGACGATAACCCTCTCAAGTTAAGGCCTTGTCTGTAGTACCGAGCCGTATGCAAGTGGGGCATGAACCTTCTGGTCCAGGGCATTACGCCAGGGGAGGTTGGAAGGCTGGCTCTGGACTGGAGGCAACGTCAGTGACGTGTAGTCAAGGTGACCTGTTGGGCCACGACCTGAGAGGCCAATCCTGGGCTGCCTTCTGCTCCTGAGGTCGCAGATACCGGTATGAAGAGGTGTCAGCGTTGTCTACGGCGTTCCTTGGATCGTCTGATGTAGCAACGGAGCACTCTAACGGAGCACGGATATAGATGGAGCTCTTGTTCATCTTCCGCTCCCACAATCGAAGACAGGTTTACCATTGTTTTTGTTTTTAAGAAAACGCTAGCAGGTGTGAAAATGTTATGCACATGTTAAAACATACAATGTTTTACAAGATACAAACATGCAAAACATGTGAAGGTTTGAACAAGTTTATGCTACATATCAAAAACAGGTCTTCTCTCATCAAGTGACAAGAGTAATGTGAGGATCTGTGACGTCGCTTCCTTTGGTCACGTGGGAGCTGCGTGGTAGGGTTGGCCTCTCAGCTAATTGGAACAACTTCTTCAAGCAAAGACCTTCACACAGCTCTTTTTTCTGTCAAGAACAAGCAGTAATATGCATTAAGGAGTAATGCAGGATAAGTAAAAAATTAAGAAAATACTGGTAAATATTTGTTCAAGTTTTACTTGGATGACAGAGTAAAGTGAGGAGATATACACCAGCCAACATACCTCCTCATCAGATGATTCCTCTGTTGATGACTCCTCGCTCTCAGCAAATATGATTGGCTTATGTTTGTAGAGAGGCTCGGGGGTGGCTTGTCGTATGATCTCCATCTTCCGCCGCTCCACCTCCCGGAGAGCCTTGGCTCGCTTCAGAGCTGCCGTCAGTGACCCTGCTTCAGATGAGGCACTCTGCCCATACCGTGTTCTAAAGGGTCTGAGAGTGATGTCGTGATGGTGCAGGTTGAAGACACTCAGTGGATGGCCGTCCATCTGGTCAGAGCCAGCATCACTCATCTGTGGCCTCTCTGAGTCGTCGCTGTCCCGATCCCCCGCGTCACTCGGTGAGGGCAGCTCTGTCAGGGCCAGGAGGGGTTGACTCTGAGGACATACATTGAGGACATATTGTGACTCAGTAAGGACGTACAGTGAGGACATACAGTGACTCAAGGACCTTCAGTGAGGACGTACAGTAAGGACATACAGTGTCTCAATGAGGACATACAGTGTCTCAATGAGGACATACAGTGACTCAAGGACCTTCAGTGAGGACATACAGTGAGAACATACAGTGACTCAAGGACCTTCAGTGAGGGTATACAGTGAGGACATACAGTGACTCAAGGACCTTCAATGAGGACGTACAGTGAGGACATACAGTGACTCAAGGACCTTCAGTGAGGACGTACAGTGAGGACATAGTGACTCAAGGACCTTCAGTGAGGAAAGACAGTGAGGACATACAGTGTCTCAATGAGGACATACAGTGTCTCAATGAGGACATACAGTGACTCAAGGACCTTCAGTGAGGACATACAGTGAGAACATACAGTGACTCAAGGACCTTCAGTGAGGACGTACAGTGAGGACATACAGTGACTCAAGGACCTTCAATGAGGATGTACAGTGAGGACATACAGTGACTCAAGGACCTTCAGTGAGGATGTACAGTGAGGACATAGTGACTCAAGGACCTTCAGTGAGGAAAGACAGTGAGGACATACAGTGTCTCAATGAGGACATACAGTGTCTCAATGAGGACATACAGTGACTCAAGGACCTTCAGTGAGGACAAACAGTGAGGACATACAGTGACTCAAGGACCTTCAATGAGGATGTACAGTGAGGACGTACAGTGACTCAAGGACCTTCAATGAGGACGTACAGTGAGGACATACAGTGACTCAAGGACCTTTAGTGAGGACGTACAGTGAGGACATAGTGACTCAAGGACCTTCAGTGAGGAAAGACAGTGAGGACATACAGTGTCTCAATGAGGACATACAGTGACTCAAGGACCTTCAGTGAGGACGTACAGTGAGGACATACAGTGACTCAAGGACCTTCAGTGAGGACGTACAGTGAGGACATACAGTGACTCAAGGACCTTCAGTGAGGTCGTACAGTGAGGACATACAGTGTCTCAATGAGGACATACAGTGACTCAAGGACCTTCAGTGAGGATGTACAGTGTCTCAATGAGGACATACAGTGACTCAAGGACCTTCAGTGAGGACGTACAGTGAGGACATACAGTGACTCAAGGACCTTCAGTGAGGTCGTACAGTGAGGACGTACAGTGACTCAAGGACTTTCAGTGAGGAAAGACAGTGACTCAAGGACCTTCAGTGAGGACGTACAGTGAGGACATACAGTGACTCAAGGACCTTCAGTGAGGACGTACAGTGACTCAAGGACCTTTAGTGAGGACGTACAGTGAGGACATACAGTGACTCAAGGACCTTCAGTGAGGATGTACAGTGAGGACATAGTGACTCAAGGACCTTCAGTGAGGAAAGACAGTGAGGACATACAGTGTCTCAATGAGGACATACAGTGACTCAAGGACCTTCAGTGAGGACGTACAGTGAGGACATACAGTGACTCAAGGACCTTCAGTGAGGACGTACAGTGAGGACATACAGTGACTCAAGGACCTTCAGTGAGGACGTACAGTGAGGACATACAGTGACTCAAGGAGCTTCAGTGAGGAAAGACAGTGAGGACATACAGTGTCTCAATGCGGACATACAGTGACTCAAGGACCTTAAGTGAGGACATACAGTGACTCAAGGACCTTCAGTGAGGACGTACAGTGAGGACATACAGTGACACAAGGACCTTCAGTGAGGACATACAGTGAGGACATACAGTGACTCAAGGACCTTCAGTGAGGAAAGACAGTGAGGACAAACAGTGTCTCAAGGACCTTCAGTGAGGACATACAGTGACTCAAGGACCTTCAGTGAGGACGTAGAGTGAGGACATACAGTGACACAAGGACCTTCAGTGAGGAAAGACAGTGAGGACATACAGTGTCTCAAGGACCTTCAGTGAGGACATACAGTGACTCAAGGACCTTCAGTGAGGACGTACAGTGAGGACATACAGTGACTCAAGGACCTTCAGTGAGGACATACAGTGAGGACATACAGTGACTCAAGGACCTTCAGTGAGGACATACAGTGAGGACATACAGTGACTCAAGGACCTTCAGTGAGGACATACAGTGACTCAAGGACCTTCAGTGAGGACATACACTGAGGACATACAGTGACTCAAGGACCTTTAGTGAGGAAAGACAGTGAGGACATACAGTGTCTCAAGGACCTTCAGTGAGGACATACAGTGAGGACATACAGTGACTCAAGGACCTTCAGTGAGGACGTACAGTGAGGACATACAGTGACTCAAGGACCTTCAGTGAGGTCGTACAGTGAGGACGTACAGTGACTCAAGGACTTTCAGTGAGGAAAGACAGTGACTCAAGGACCTTCAGTGAGGACGTACAGTGAGGACATACAGTGACTCAAGGACCTTCAGTGAGGGTATACAGTGACTCAAGGACCTTTAGTGAGGACGTACAGTGAGGACATACAGTGACTCAAGGACCTTCAGTGAGGATGTACAGTGAGGACATAGTGACTCAAGGACCTTCAGTGAGGAAAGACAGTGAGGACATACAGTGTCTCAATGAGGACATACAGTGTCTCAATGAGGACATACAGTGACTCAAGGACCTTCAGTGAGGACGTACAGTGAGGACATACAGTGACTCAAGGACCTTCAGTGAGGACGTACAGTGAGGACATACAGTGACTCAAGGACCTTCAGTGAGGACGTACAGTGAGGACATACAGTGACTCAAGGAGCTTCAGTGAGGAAAGACAGTGAAGACATACAGTGTCTCAATGCGGACATACAGTGACTCAAGGACCTTAAGTGAGGACATACAGTGACTCAAGGACCTTCAGTGAGGACGTACAGTGAGGACATACAGTGACACAAGGACCTTCAGTGAGGACATACAGTGAGGACATACAGTGACTCAAGGACCTTCAGTGAGGAAAGACAGTGAGGACATACAGTGTCTCAAGGACCTTCAGTGAGGACATACAGTGACTCAAGGACCTTCAGTGAGGACGTAGAGTGAGGACATACAGTGACACAAGGACCTTCAGTGAGGAAAGACAGTGAGGACATACAGTGTCTCAAGGACCTTCAGTGAGGACATACAGTGACTCAAGGACCTTCAGTGAGGACGTACAGTGAGGACATACAGTGACTCAAGGACCTTCAGTGAGGACATACAGTGAGGACATACAGTGACTCAAGGACCTTCAGTGAGGACATACAGTGAGGACATACAGTGACTCAAGGACCTTCAGTGAGGACATACAGTGACTCAAGGACCTTCAGTGAGGACATACACTGAGGACATACAGTGACTCAAGGACCTTTAGTGAGGAAAGACAGTGAGGACATACAGTGTCTCAAGGACCTTCAGTGAGGACATACAGTGAGGACATACAGTGACTCAAGGACCTTCAGTGAGGACGTACAGTGAGGACATACAGTGACTCAAGGACCTTCAGTGAGGACATACAGTGAGGACATACAGTGACTCAAGGACCTTCAGTGAGGGCGTACAGTGAGGACATACAGTGACTCAAGGACCTTCAGTGAGGACATACAATGAGGACATACAGTGACTCAAGGACCTTCAGTGAGGACATACAGAGAGGACATACAGTGACTCAAGGACCTTCAGTGAGGACGTACAGTGAGGACGTACAGTGACTCAAGGACCTTCAGTGAGGACATACAGTGAGGATATACAGTGACTCAAGGACCTTCAGTGAGGACGTACAGTGAGGACATACATTTACTCAAGGACCTTCAGTGAGGACGTACAGTGAGGACATACAGTGACTCAAGGACCTTCAGTGAGGACGTACAGTGAGGACATACAGTGAGGACATACAGTGACTCAAGGACCTTCAGTGAGGACGTACAGTGAGGACGTACAGTGAGGACATACAGTGACTCAAGGACCTTCAGTGAGGACATACAGTGTCTCAATGCAGACATACAGTGACTCAAGGACCTTCAGTGAGGACATACAGTGACTCAAGGACCTTCAGTTAGGACGTACAGTGAGGACATACAGTGACACAAGGACCTTCAGTGAGGAAAGACAGTGAGGACATACAGTGTCTCAAGGACCTTCAGTGAGGACATACAGTGAGGACATACAGTGACTCAAGGACCTTCAGTGAGGATGTACAGTGAGGACATACAGTGACTCAAGGACCTTCCATTCAGGACATACAGTGGGGACATATAGTGTCTCAAGGACCTTCCATGAGGACATACAGTGGGGACATACAGTGACTCAAGGACCTTCAGTGAGGACATACAGTGACTCAAGGACCTTCAGTGAGGACATACAGTGAGGACCTTCATTGAGGACATACAGTGACTCAAGGACCTTCAGTGAGGACATACAGTGAGGACATACAGTGACTCAAGGACCTTCAGTGAGGACATACAGTGACTCAAGGACCTTCAGTGAGGACGTACAGTGAGGACTTACAGTGACACAAGGACCTTCAGTGAGGACATACAGTGAGGACATACAGTGACTCAAGGACCTTCCATTCAGGACATACAGTGAGGACATACAGCGACTCAAGGACCTTCAGTGAGGACATACAGTGAGGACATACAGTGACTCAAGGACCTTCAGTGAGGACATACAGTGAGGACGTACAGTGAGGACATACAATGACTCAAGGACCTTCAGTGAGGACATACAGTGAGGACGTACAGTGAGGACATACAGTGAGGACATATAGTGAGGACATACAGTGAGGACATAGTGTTACCTTGAGCCTCTGCTTCCCGCACAGCGCCCCCATCTTGTCCTCAAGCCAGATGACCCGCTTCCTGGCAGCGTTGATGTCACCGTGGCCATTGTAGAGGGCATTGTCGAGGTCAGTGCGGGCATAAGCCACTTCCTGGTTTAGTTTCTGCATCACCTGTATAAAAATTAGCCTTTAAAACCGATTATCTTCAAGCGTAATGTACAACAAGTGTTCCATGAGCAAGGCACAAAGGGTGGAATCAGTCCACACAGCACATGCATTTGTTACCCTGCTGAGTCAACAGAGCAGTATGCAGTAATATGTTTCTCTTTGCATTCTCAGCCCCCTGGGGAGTATACATCTTTGCTTTTATGATCATGAAATATGGCATGCTTAGTTGAGTCTATATATACTCACACGCAAAAGAAACGCAAGTCGAGTATGCAGTATACAGTATGCAGTATGCAGTATACATGTTATTTATTTTCAACAGTAAAGACAAGAATACTAAATAGGACAGGATTGACAAAAATGTGACTGAAGACAGTTTAATGTATTAAAAGGCAGATGACATAATTGTTTTTTTCAAATGTTAAGGGCTTACACAGTTTCGGGTCAATACCCAAAATGTCAGTCAATACCTGGTGTGACCACCATTAGCATTGATCACTGCCACACATCTCTTGTACATTGAGTGGATCAGACGATTTGTGAAGGCCCTAGGGATCCTCCTGCACACATCAGAGCAGCTGTGCGTAGTTCATCGGCAGTTGTAGGGACTGGGCGCACATTGTGCAGACACCTTGAACCTCATCCCACAAGTGTTCGATGGGGTTCAGATCAGGGCTGAGGGCTTGCCACGGTAGAACACAGATGTTGTGTTGTTGCAGAAAGGCCATGGTAGCTCTGGCAACATGGGGATGAGCGTTGTCCTGCTGGAAAATGTGTTGTTGATGTTGTGCAAAAAATGGAGCAACGTGGGGTCTGATCACTTGGTCGATATACCGCTGAGCAGTGACGCCGTGTCCCCGACCTTGACCAACATTCAGAAAGCACATGGGTCCAAGTCTCGCATTAAGTCCAATCCCTGCCCATATCATGATGCTAGGTCCACCCCATGGATCCCTTTCCACAACGTTTCTGTCAGCGAAACAATCACCTCGACGCCGCCAAATTCTGACTCTTCCGTCTGCATGGGAGACACAAAAGTGACTTTCATCGTGATGACGCGCCTCCACTCATGATGACGCCAATTGTGATGACCCTGTGCCCACTGAAGTCGTGCTTTTTGATGCCGTGGTTAGCGACATCTGAGGTTGTTGGAACAGAGACGTCGGATCACAGTGTCCCGGCTCATGTGTCGATTATGTGTTCCTATGGTCTGTCGAGCACTTTCACTTGCAGTTAGGAATGGATGTCGCTGGTGTTGACGGGTAATCTGCCGATCTTGTCGAGGTGTGGTGACCTAAGGACGACCGCTCCGAGGAAGGTCATCTGTGGTCTGTGTAGCATTGTATTGATGCAGGAGACGGTAAATTGTGGTTATGTTAACGTTGAAATGACCGGCAACATCTTGGACAGACTCTCCAGCTTCCAAACGTCCGATAGCCTGGTTTCTCTGAATTTGAGTTAGGCGTGGCATTGTTGACCAAGGAGTGGTAGGTCCAAGAATCAGCCACAGTTTTATACCCACTACAGTTCGTGACTGTTCGTGCATTTTCGATTTCGCGAGAAATGGGTGCATGATACCCACATAGTCATTGAAATGGTGCATTTTGGTGTGTCGTTATTAATGTTGCGTTTTTACTCGGGGCTTCCAAATTGCAACCAAAAATATTGATAACACCATTAGGCTTCACTACATGCTAAAACTCGTATCAAGGTTCCATGTTTGTTACCTATTTGCTTAAAACCACTTGCGTTTCTTTTGCATGTGAGTATATATTTTAATTAGTTTCAATGTAATATGTATATTTGACACACTGACAATTAATTTAATGTTGACAATTCATTACATATTGTTTGACTTTTTATTCACATTAAATACATTTTTTAAAAACCACATGTTTTTTTCTTCAGTGCTGATTTCAGTATTATTTCAGAGTGAACGTCCTGGACGACTCTAACATTGACAGATGGAGGCCAGGACTGGGGCTCACCTTACATCCAGCTGGGTATCACAGATGTATGCGATTCAAACTACACAAGTATTTTAGTTATCTAAAATTGGCTCACTTCAGTTTAAACACAGCAACTTGGTTATACAAAAGTCATGTTAAGGTGCCATGGTTATACAACAGTCATGCTAACAGTGCCTTGGTTATACAACAGTCATGCTAACGGTGCCTTGGTGATAAAACAGTCATGCTAACGGTGCCTTGGTGATAAAACAGTCATGCTAACGGTGCCTTGGTTATACAACAGTCATGCTAACGGTGCCTTGGTTATACAACAGTCATGCTAACGGTGCCTTGGTGATAAAACAGTCATGCTAACGGTGCCTTGGTGATAAAACAGTCATGCTAACGGTGCCTTGGTTATACAACAGTCATGCTAACGGTGCCTTGGTTATACAACAGTCATGCTAACGGTGCCTTGGTTATACAACAGTCATGCTAATGGTGCCTTGGTGATAAAACAGTCATGCTAACGGTGCCTTGGTGATAAAACAGTCATGCTAACGGTGCCTTGGTTATACAACAGTCATGCTAACGGTCCCTTGGTTATACAACAGTCATGCTAACGGTGCCTTGGTTATACAACAGTCATGCTAACGGTGCCTTGGTGATAAACCAGTCATGCTAACGGTGCCTTGGTTATACAACAGTCGTGCTAACGGTGCCTTGGTTATACAACAGTTATGCTAACGGTGCCTTGGTTATACAACAGTCATGCTAACAGTGCCATGGTTATACAACAGCCATGCTAACGGTGCCTTGGTGATAAAACAGTCATGCTAACGGCGCCTTGGTTATACAAAAGTCATGCTAACAGTGCCATGGTTATACAACAGTCATGCTAACGGTGCCATGGTAATACAACAGTCATGTTAACGGTGCCTTGGTTATACAAAAGTCATGCTAACAGTGCCTTGGTTATACAACAGTCATGCTAACAGTGCCATGGTAATACAACAGTCATGCTAACGGTGCCTTGGTTATACATCAGTCATGCTAACAGTGCCTTGGTTAGACGGAATTCATGCTCACAGTGCCATGGTTAGACGGAATTCATGCTCACAGTGCCATGGTTAGACGGAATTCATGCTCACAGTGCCATGGTTAGACGGAGATTCATGCTCACAGTGCCATGGTTAGACGGAATTCATGCTCACAGTGCCATGGCCTAAGAAACATCAATAGAAACATGCTGACCTGTAATGCCACAGTAAGTTGCTCCGACTTGTTGTGAATTTCCTGTACAACTTCCTTTTGTGCCAGCAGATCGTCTGAGATCTTGGCATTTTCCAGATCCACCAGAGCTCTCCTCAGATCTTCCTGCGTGGCCCTCACATTCAGGATCTAAACACATGCAGAAAGGTACACTAATTTCTAGTCAACACTTGCAGAATGATACTCATTTCTAGCCAACACATGCAGAATGATACTCATTTCTAGCCAACACATGCAGAAAGGTACACTCATTTTCAGCCAACACTTGCAGAATGATACACTCATTTGTAGCCAACACATGCAGAAAGGTACACTCATTTTCAGCCAACACATGCAGAATGATACTCATTTCTAGCCAACACATGCAGAATGGTACACTCATTTCTAGCCAACACATGCAGAAAGGTACGCTCATTTCTAGCCAACACATGCAGAAAGGTACACTAATTTCTAGCCAACACTTGCAGAAAGGTATACTCATTCCTAGCCAACACTTGCAGAAAGGTACACTCATTTTTAGCCAACACTTGCAGAATGGTACACTCATTTCTAGCCATCACATGCAGAATGATACACTCATGTCTAGCCAACACTTGCAGAAAGGTACACTCATTTCTAGCCAACACATGCAGAATGGTACACTCATTCCTAGCCAACACTTGCAGAAAGGTACAGTCATTTTTAGCCAACACTTGCAGAATGGTACACTCATTTCTAGCCATCACATGCAGAATGATACACTCATGTCTAGCCAACACATGCAGAAAGGTACACTCATGTCTAGCCAACACATGCACCATGGTACACTCATTTCTAGCCAACACTTGCAGAAAGGTACACTCATTTCTAGCCAACACATGCAGAATGGTACACTCATTTCTAGCCAACACTTGTAGAATGGTACACTCATTTCTAGCCAACACTTGCAGAACGGTACACTCATGTCTAGCCAACACATGCACCATGGTACACTCATTTCTAGCCAACACTTGCAGAAAGGTACACTCATTTCTAGCCAACACATGCAGAATGGTACACTCATTTCTAGCCAACACTTGCAGAACGGTACACTTATTTCTAGCCGACACACGCACCATGACATCCTCATCATCAATTTTTCTTTCATGATTTGGCAAAATAATCAGATGTACAAGTATATCGATATTTGAATCTCATACTACTTCATGCGACATCCAACTGCATCATTCTACATCACACTACATCACACGACATATTTAGCTCTAAATTCAAGTTTGTGATGTAATACACATTCTTGTCTAGTTACCGGGATTATCAATCTCATAACAACCTAGATCACAGAAATCAATTCATTATTATTATTACTATTATTTACATATGGAAGCCATACTGGTACATTTGTTTTCTTAGTTGAGGATATATTTCTTGGAAGATTAATTATCTGTTTCATTATTCAAAAACAATTCACGACCATCTCTATATAATTGTTGCAGTGATTTAATCAAATAAGTATTAATCTGCCTTTTCATTTTGACTTAATGCACCATTCATTGAAATTCTAACCTTCACTTTATTTATTTGTAAAATGCTGATTCATTCCAAACACATTCAGACAGGTCTGCTTTAGAATGGGTTTTCTAGAATTCTCATCTTATTCCAAACTAGCACATCAATCCTAACAAAGAGCTTCATAGCAAAGAAAGTGTTGTACATGTTCCTCCATGAGGAGATCAGAGCGATGCTGAATGTTGTATTCTGTCTGCAGCAGCACCCCACTCTGGGGGGTCTCAGGACGCTTCGCCAACCACGCCATCGTCACTATTGCACACCTGAAATGAATTGTTCATCCTTAATAATCATATGATCTCAGGGTTATAAATTAGGAGATAAACATACATTGAAAACACAATATATTTATCTCCATTCTACCATGACCAAATAAATAGGAACACTTTGGTGTCAGCAATATATTCAGTCACAGACAACAGCAATATGGCACTTTATATCATCAAGCAGTTTGTTCACACCATAATACTTCACTTGTACTTATGACAGGCACTGTAAGTATGTAGCATGGCAATTTCATAAGTTAACATGAGGCAGGCATCCCTTAAGAAAACTAAGCAAGCCTTGCAAAGGTTTTGTTTTACACCGCACATCGACTATTGTGACTTCATATCGCATTGTGCCGCAAATGATATGACATACTGCTTATGGTAGACTATTTGCAAATGAACATATTCCAATTTTCAATTATCAGAAACTTTAAAGTCACAAAATGAACACAACAGGATCGACACAATTCATCCAGTAGTTTTCAAAGATTATTGCGATGAGGTCTCAAGTGAAGACGAGAAGTGGTCACACCCTGTCTCAAATAACTACACATGCAGTAAACGTGTAAAATTACTGAAATGGGGGCGATCTCTCTAAGTTACCAACAGATCAAAGCTGCTTAGATGGTCTAACAACTTGCTAAATTAGTCCTTAAAGGTACAATATACATAAATGTTATCAGGATTCATTATCTTACGTTGTCTGTAAATATTTCACATCATAAAAGAGGTTAGTTCGTTTCTTAGTTGCAGCACTCTGATCTGCCTCGCTCAATCTTGCTTCAGCAGGTGCTTGTGTCGGCCATGTCAAGATGGCGACGTACACAAACTTCAAACTCCCGGTTGCTAAGGCTGATTGAAGCAGTTAAGACAAAGTAAAACAAATCAGCTTAAGTGGAAATCGCTTCTTAAAATCAGATTTCATCGTTGAAATACTGTTTTGTTTTATGAATACTTCTCAGAGACGATATTTGTTGAAAATATGAATACCCGGAAGTGACCCCGATTCACCCGGAAACAGCCTCGATTCGGTCTTTTCAAGCCGCCATCTTCCAGAGGTAGAAAGAAAACACGATAGCTGCTTAATATAATCAGAGAAATCCGAAATAAATGACTATCTATATGTTATTATAATATAAGAAATATATATATCAATGTCAGTGGTTTTGTAAAACGTCTCAATTTATGTTGTAGTCTGTGTTATAGTAAAGGTCTTGCATGATTTCTTCAGTTACCCTCTTCCCCGAAGCATGATCGGTATTCACGTTCATGTTTATTGACATCAACGCTCTCGACTGTATGTTGCCTCTTTAGGTGCTCTGATGAAATACTTGTGTAGTAACTAATTATACAACTAAATCAGGGATCTATATTTGATTTGAAAGTATTTGTATAGTTATTTTTGCATGTGTGTTCAAGAGACCAGCTTTTATCAAGTGGGTTCAGGCATGTTCCAAAAGTTGTAGAATCAGGACACCAATGAATAGTTAGTAGTATCCAATATGTAATCGGTTTATATCATTTCTCCCACGAATCATGAAACCTGGGATGACAAGCTCCCACACATTTTAAAACCATCTGGTTGGAATGTGTTCACTTTCATGTGGTGTGACTACCAACTCTATTATATGACAGACGAGGCCTGTTCAGGGGCTTTCAGTGTGAGTTTAGATATGATGGGGTAAGCAGGCATAGAAATTTGCACTTGACTGAAATTGTTTGTTGAATGCAGTATTCTAAGTATTAAAAATTGTTATGAAATTTTGCAAAAATAATACACATTGAACATAGGTTACAGCAGCATCATGAAAATGTTTTTGTTGTTTAACGTCGCACTCAGCAATATTCAAGCTATGTGACGGCGGTCTGTAAATAATTGGGGCTAGGCCAGACAATCCAGTGACTGACATAATCATGACCCATAATATTGGGATACATATAAGTAGTGGTGGGACGATACACCAATGCATCGGTAGATTGTGATTTTACTTCCCAATACAAGTATCGATCTTAGTTGCACACAACTTACAAAATATCGATTCATACCTTAAATGTTTACTTTAATGTCTGTTACATCAAACACTAATTAGTAGTGAAAGTTAGTAGTGAAATAGGAAATATTTTCATCAGTAAATCATCAGTGTGCCAGGTATTTGACTTTCCTGTCCATGAAAAAGATGGCTTACACCATGTACACACCACAGATCAGAGCTTTTATAAGTATCATGATGCGAATCGGATCGCACAGTTGGTGTATCGTCCCAGCCCTAGGACATGGTTTTTAAATGAGGCTCAAAAATACAATGTATGCAATGAATTAATTTCAAAGTTCAAATGTGTAAATCCAGTTTTACATGTCACATAAACGAGGTGCAGCAGTGTGCTTGATTTGCATTTCGCAATTTTGCATTTCTCAATGAAGAGAGTTACATGCTCTTTCACTTTCTCTGTCCCAGTGGGGATTCAAGGTTAGAATTGCTCTCCATCAACGTGTACTACTTGTAACAGGCAACTCAGTGGATTGGGTGGTCAGACTCGGCGACTTGGTTGATTGTGTGTTATCATACTGTGATGGTATTGATTGTTGCTCTTAATTTCAACCACATGTTTGCCTTGTCCAGACTTGCTTGTTTACACTCAATCATCATATAGGTGGAATATTGCTGAATGTGGCAGTAAACAAACAAATACTTCTTTCTCTGAATGGCAAAAGTATTATTTAGTCTTTATGATCAACAAATGCTAAATAAAAGCATCAGGGAAATATTGAGGCAAACGTCCCCACTTACTTAGTATAAGCTGGCTATTGTTCCCCCATTTTGGTAGGACACTGGTATGACTGTTGAAAGAACAGGGCTGAGGGCTTGCAGAATTTCCCCTTGTTTTTCAAATGTGGTGAATGTTTGGTGTAGTTGGCATTTCAGGTGAATTAATACCACAAGTTAGGATCATACAATGCTGTTATTGTAATGTCAGCACTTAGATGTTTTCTTTGTTTATTTTAGTTTGTATATTGCACTCAGCAATATTCCAGCTATATGACTGGGCTCTGTAAATCGAGTTTGGATCAGACAATCCAGTGATTGACATTATGAGCATTGATCCACATAATTGGGATACGATGACATGCATCAACCAAGTGTGTGAGCCTGACCATCCGAACTCGTTAGTCGCCTTTTATGACAAGGATGGGTTGCTGAAGACCTCTTCTACCCCGGATTTTTACGGATCCACTAAGATGTTTATAGATGTAAATGAATATGTTGTTTTCTTACAGGCATCAAAATGGTTCGCATGAACGTGTTGGCGGATGCTCTGAATGCCATTGCTATGGCTGAGAAGCGTGGCAAGAGACAGGTGCTCATCAGACCTTGCTCTAAAGTGATTGTCCGCTTCCTCACAGTCATGATGAAACATGGTATGTAAATCTTCAACTGATCTTGGATCTAACGAGACAGTACACAACCAGCGTTTCTTTTGTTCTATGATTATGTGGGTGCAGTGGTTACTTGCTGGGTCAATGTCAGATCAGACTACTGAACACTTTTGAAAGAATGTTGGCCGATGTTCTTGGTTCACCATCAGCAGAAGGGTCTGTGTTATGTGCTGATGATGACTAGTAGGCCCACTCCCTCAGACATCCAGATGTTCTGTGTGGTTGAAAAAATAAATTTCTATAAGTATAACCCAAAATATATATACAGTCAAGTCCTGTTAATCTGATATTATTGGTTGCATATGATTATGTCAGATTAACGTCTATGTCGGATAAACGAAATTAGGTAATATCAATGTTCGTGATCGAAAATTGGACAACTACACGATAGATAACGATTCAAACATGTTGTAATAAAAAAAAGGAAATATTCATATTGTTGTGTTACATTGTTCGCGGAATATGTGTTCTAATCATGCAACCTCTAAAGTTTAACACAAAACACAAAGTTTATCTCTGCAAACGTTTAAATATGCAGCTACTCGCCGACTCGTCTCGCATCAAAAAACGGGGCTATGTACTCGCGGGCAGATGACCATGGAGTACGCTGATCACCGTGTAGGATTAACGAGACTGATTAATGAGTGATTTCAGCAAATTGTTGCAAATTAGGTGTGTCGGAGTAGGAGTGCGAGACTGTCGGATTAACGTGTCTAAACAGCACTGATTTAATCGGTTCCCATCATTTGTGTCGGATAAAGCCGATTGTCGGATTAACAAGTATCAGATAAACGAGACTTGACTGTAGTTGCTTTTTAAAAACAACCAATAGGATAACAGCATTGTGGCTAATTAACCAACGTGACATTTTTTAGCTTGCAACTTACTACCTTTACTATATGAAGGCAGACATATATACATGAACTCTTCAACAGGGGGATTATACTGAATAGTGCACAAAAGTGCCATGCCTTGCATATTATCACTTTGATATGTATCAGTGTTGAGGTGCAACGAGACCCACTTGTTGTTGCACATGAAAAGTTGAAAATTAGGGTCTACTCATTCATTTTAAAAATGCTATACATGTTGACTTGAGGGAGATAATATTTATATATACTGAACCGCAAAAGAAACATCAACCCAAGTAACATTGCATGAAAAGTTCTCATTTAAATACCTGGGTAATTTTTGTCAAAGTTTCTAAAATTTAACATTAGCTTGTCCGGAAAAATGAAATTTGATTATAAAAAACCCCAAAGCAGATGACAATATAACGCACCACGGCAATGGCCATGGTAACCCAATTCATGTGAGGCACATGCGTTCCCCCATTTCTTGCCCTATAAAAATCCACCCAGATCGGATAACATTCATTCGTTATTGAATTGCGACCACATGCCAAGATTGACAAGAAATCAGCGACACCAAGCCCTTGGACGATTGCAAGCTGGACAAACCGCCCAGCAAGTAGCCAGTGCATTTGAAGTCCACGTAAGGACCATGTATAGGCTCCAGCAACGATACCAGACCACCAACACTACAGATGACCGACCACATAGTGGAAGACCAAGGGTCAGCACCCTACGTGAGGTTCGTCAGATTGTGCGACAGCATCTTCAAGATCGCTTTGTTACTGCTGTGGAAACTGTTCGGCAGACCATGGGGACACGTTAGTGTGGACACTGTGTGCTGACGATTGACGAACAGACACCTCCACTGTCACAGGCCACACCGAGAACCCATTCTGACAGGACCGTCATCAGTGGGTAACACAGCACCAGCCTTGGCGCCACCAGCAGTGGAGAAGAGAACATTTGTCACTTTAATTTCAACCTTGATGATCAGTTTTGCCATGTTTCAGCTTTTTAATAAGTCTCAAAGTATGTTTACAGTGTTTGAACAAATAAGGTTTCTCATATATCTATCCATGGTGATGTTTCTTTTGCGGTTCAGTATATTTCATATGAAACCAGTCAACACCCAATGTGAGGCCATACTCTGTTATCTGGAGCCCTGGCCTCTGCAGTTTAGTTATGCAATTGGTTTTCTTCCACTGAGAAGTGACTATGGGGGCTATTTACACTTGCAATTGTACTTCTGTAGTATTGTGATAGCAGTATGCCAAATTTAAGGCATTATTATATTAATCAATGTAAAAGAAATGAATACAATATTGCTGACAAACTCATTGGCCATTTACTTCCTGTTGCTACTCGAACCAAAGGGAAGTAACTCTAATCTGAAGTTGTCATAATCCTTGCTAACCAACACACAGGCAGGTTTGGAATTCACATAATTTGTTTATTTTATAATTAATTGCAACTTTTGAAACTATCAAATTTTAGGCATACTCCCAACAAATACAATTGGCATTTTTAAATTCTTGTTGAT